AAACGTGTTTTTTGTGAAATATGAATATGTCTGCAAATTCAATGTTTTATTTATAAATGTTCATTTGTTTTGATTTTATATCTTCTATCTATTTGACACAACTAGAAAATAAACTGTTAAATAATTTACAGACAGAAAGCCAGATGGGTGGTGATGATAGGAAAACTAAGGAGAATGTAAAGGTGAATGTTATCTGTGTTATATGATTGTAAGCCGCCTAGAGCAGCCATCCAGCGAGATAGGCAGCAAATAAATTTAACAAGTAAATGAACAAAAATAAATATATTTCTATAGTAGTCTTCCCCCCAATTTGACCCTTCCTTGAGTACAACTCCCATCATTTCCAACAAGAATTGTACCTAGGTGAGCTGGGAATATGTTCTGTCCCCATTTCCCAACCGATGCGTTGTGGCTTCCGCTGAAATGTTAATAAACAAAATTAAGAGACTTTGGCCATAGTTCAGCCTTTTTCCTTTGCGCATGACACAAGTACATTTTTCTGGCAATACGTGGGTGAAAAAAATAGCTGTTGTGTACTTAATGAGCAGGTATATATTGCCAGCTTTTTAAAAGAAGCATTTACTGTGTGTGATAATTAATAAATAATCATCACTTATTATTCTGCTAGTAAGTAATTTGGTAATTTGGTCTTAATTCACAGTGTCTGGTCCTGAGAAACTGCTTTGCAGAGGTTTATTGAGGCCTGTGTAGCTCCACCTGGGACATATTTAGAGCTCTTTAGAGCGAATTGCCTTTCTAGTCCAATTCCACAGGGCTGTGTTTACTGCCATAGCTTCTCTTGGCCAGAATGCATTAGAGAAGAATGCTATGGCCAGCAATACTCAACAGGGTAGAATCCAGCAGAAACCCCAGGTTGTTTGGGTCATTTGTTAATAACTTAACAACAGCAGTTATTCACTTAACAGTTGTGGCAAGAAAGATCCTAAAATGGGGCAAAACTCAGCAACTACTTTGCTGATGGATGGAAATGTGGGGCTCAATTTTTTTTTTAAGCGTTCACAAGATTGGCAGAGCTATCACAAGCAGTCCCGATGTATATTATTGGTATTAAGTCCTGTCCCTAAGAGTGAAGGAGGATGAATTGACTACAATTAAAAGTTTTTGCTCATGTTTCGGTAATAGAACTCTGGTGTTGAACACAGGAAGTGCTCGACCTACGACCACAATCGAGCCCAAAATTTCCACCGATCAGCAAAGTAGTTGTGGAGTTTTGTCCCATTTTACAATCTTTCTTGCTACATACCTCTTAAGTGAAGCACTGCCGTTGTTAAGTTAGTAACATGGTTGTTCGGTGAATCTGGCTTCCCCCTTCACTTTGCCTGTCAGAAGATTGGAAAAGGCGATCACATGACCCCAGGACACTGCAACCATCATAAGTACATGCCAGTTGCCAAGCATCCAAATTTTGATCATGCGACCACAGGGATGCTGCAGTGGACATAAGTGTGAAAACTGGGTCATAAGTCACTTTTTTTCAGTGCCATTGTAACTTCCAGTGGCCACTAAAGAAATGCTTGTAAGTCGAGGACTATCTGCATTGCTTATTATGTCATTGAAGGTGTCAGCATTTAACTGAATTGGCCTGATCTCAGAAAAGCTAAGCAGATCAAATCTGGTTAAGATTTGGATGAGATTTTACCAAGAAGTCTCAGGATTACAGGTTAAAATGAGAAACTCAAAAAAACATTATGGAAGAACACGGTGACAGACCTGTTCTGCATGTCGCCAAAAAACATGGCTGTATCCATGGCGTCACCAGGAGTCAAGAATGATTCAGGAGAGACTTTAGCTATTGCTTCTTATGAAATCTTTTGTTTATTACTTAGGGTTTTTCCCCTTCTTTTTATTAACAGTGCAAAAGGCCATTTGAACATGTCTTTGCTAAAGGGTTAAAAAAGAACTAGAAGCTCTGATTCAGTATATAGCTTATTGCGGTGAGGTAGTTGTGCTAAATAAATAAAGTCCTTATTAGATTGCAGAGGTTGGGCTATTCTGTTCCAATATTATTAGATGATCCATTGCTAAATTATGTTTTTGACTGCACAGCAGCAATTTAATGCAATGTATTGCAGTTTAAATCAGGTCATGTACTTAGTGTTCAAATATCAGTCGATTTCCTGCTAAAAAATAGGAAATACGTGTATTTTATATAAGTATATTTTTAGATTCAAAGAGGATAAAAGAACAGTATTTTATCCTGAATCTTGCACCTGAACCAGTTGAGAATAATGGAAGACATAAGCATCTGTTCAGTGCTGAGTTAGTTTGGAAGAAGAACGTGGGTCACTTAAAACTGCAGCATGACCCTGCATTCAATTAAAACACCCTTTAATCAGATAGTATGGACTATATATACTAGCAGTTTCTGAAATCCCTAAATTACAGGCAGTCCTCAACTTACAACTGTCATTTAGTGATCGAAGTTACAATGGCACTGAAAAAAGAGACTTACTGTATGACCAGTTTTCACACTTATGAACATTGCAGGATCCCCATGGTCATGGGCACTTGGCAACTGGCATGTATTTATGACAGTTACACTGTTCTGGAGTCATGTGATCCCATTTGTAACATTCCCAGTCAATTCTGACAAGCAAAATCAATGGGAGAAGCCAGATTTGCTTAATAACTATGTGATCTGCTTAACAGCTGCAGTGACTCACTTAACAATTATGGCAAAAAATGGGGCAAAACTTGCTTAATAACTGCCTTGCTTAGCAAGAAAAATTTTGGGCGCAATTGTGGTCATAAGCCAACGACTATATTAGATTAACTGAAAAATGTCTTGGAAGATTCTATACCTATTGTTTATTTTTCCAGACAATTGAAGAGTATTATCTAGACAGAGATTAGTTTTGCAAGAATTTTGGAAGAAATAGCTAACATATTTTAATTAACCAGTAGTCTTGTGATCTGAAGAACTGCATAATGCTTCCTAGGCTCTTAAATGGAAATAATTGATCATATTTGTTGTTCTCCTCAGTTGATATGTAAAAAAAGATTTGAATTTATTTCATTAAGCCAAAAAATACAATGTATTCTAGAGATATTTATATATGTTATTTGGACCTCTTCTGTGGTTGTCCCATTTTCTTTAATTCTCACACTGTTGGTATTTTGATGTTGGGTAGAGAAATAAGCATTATACTTATACTTTATTTATTTGGCTAAGTGTAGTTAGACACACAGGGAAATTGTCTTCAGTACAGAAGAACCCAGTGTACTGGAGACAAATTCCTTGTGTGTCCAACCACACTTGGTTAAATATATTAAATATGTTAATATGTTTTACTGAAATCCTAGAATTTATTTATGAAGAACATTAGCTTTATTGAGCATGGAATGAACCTGTACTGAAAAAAATATGGCTACTTGGGTTTTTAAATTCCAAATTGAATACATTGCTCTTGCCATCAATGTGGCTATCAATAAGTGTAATGGAAAGACCAGTCAATATTATTCCTTGTGATTAAATTTTGAGTTGCTTTTATACAGGTAGTCCTCTGTCAATAACAGTAATTGGGACATGAATTTCTGTCACTAAGTGATGTTGTTTTAAAACATAATGTCATGTAATCGCATCCTTTAGTGACAGCTGTCTACCATGAGTGAATATTTGAAGGATCCCATGATATATACAGTAAATACACATATTTTTTCCTTTTGCGTTGTTTTGTTTCTTGTGTTTTGCTTTTTATATTTACACTGCTTTGTATATTGTGGTAGTTTTTCCTTCAGTTGGTTAAGTATATTATGGCAATAAAGAATAAAAACTAAAATAAAAAGAGAGAGCAACAGATGTCATCGATTTGTTTTGTAATAAACAGCATTTAGTCATGTTTATATTTGTGGAATAGGTAAACATCCCCTATGGATTTATTGTGATGACTCATGCCAGGCAATATGTTAAAGAGATCAGTAGCTAAAAATTATACCTGCCCCCCAAGTCCTGTCATTCCTCTTCTGGGCCTGCAAGTTACATTGGAATTGGAAATGAAGCAGTTCGTTCTATCTCATTGATTTTAGTGGGAGGAAAAAGTTTTACAATTACACTGTCCAAAGAAACCAGTAGGAAAGTACCTTCCCACAACTTCCTGTTCTAGATTTTGTGAGGTAGTTTCACTACAAATCTCTCCCATGCACCTCCCTTCTTCTTGTCACCCATGGGGTTGATTTATCCATTTGCTGGCAATTGTAGGCTTATATTGTATAAATGTTGTCATTCTCATGCATCTAGTTGGAAACATCTTGTGGTTTGAATCTGTTTGTTGGCAATCCTCTTGAAGTATATAATGCTACTGATTTGTGTGTGTGTGTGTGTGTTAGAAGAATGAGAAAATTACAAAGTCTGGCTATATTTGTTCTCAGCCTGAGGAAGTAAACATGAGCTCATTTTTGACACTGACTTACATCAGCCTGAAGTTGAAACAAAAATGAAAGCCCTTCGTATATTAAGAATTCCTGTCACAATTCAGCTTTATTTTTGGTGGTGCAGTCATAACCTTAAGTATGCAGCAGTAGGTGAGGTTCATAATTCAGTAGAAAATTAATAGCATTAGTCATGTTTGCAGCTGCCTAATACAGCTGCTTTAATCTGGCAAAAAAAAAAAACCTGCTGTGGGACTCTGATCCAGTTTGGATGAAATTCCTTGCTGCTCTCTTCCGAAACTACGGTTTCCTCATGCCAGCTTTATGCTTCTTTAATTGATGTTACTATAAACCACAATGATGTCTGCAAGTGATTGCTGGTAGTAGATACAGTACATGATATAGTAGGATAGACTCCCCCCCCCAAATTTAACATTTTTCAAATGTGTTTCATCACAGCACTGATCAAATTGGGTGGAACTTAGTAAAAGCTGCACCCCCAATACTTTTGAAGATGTCAGACTGTAAAAGGTAATACTAAGGCTTTCCCCATTTATCTGTTAGAAGATGAATACTTGTCACTGGAAATTAAAGAATGTGCAAAGTAAATAAAACAAATTGGTTTAATAAAGAGTAGCATATACATTCACATTTTATATTCATAGTATGATGTAAATGCAGTTATTAATTCCCCCAATCAATTCCCTCAAGTTGAAGGAAGAAATTAGAAAAATTCTGTACTGGCACAAAGGAAGATAAACTTCATATTCAGAGTTCCCATTTCACTATTGGTAGATGAGGACCTTTGCCCTCTGTATCCCATGAAAGCTTTATGTATAAAAGTTGGGCTCCAAGATATTTAAGATTATTTTATCCAACCATACCCATACATTCCATATGATACAGTGCGTCCTGCAAAAACCATCTTCCTCTTGCACATACACATATTGTCTAGAATTTCTGATTGATTACGTATAGCAAGTATATTGCCTCCTTATCAGTGAGATAGAAAACATAATTTACTTAATAGCGACCTCTAAGAGATTGCATAACCTTCTTATGGGAACAAATTTATTTTAAAAAGAACCAAAGATCCATGACTCAGAAGAGTCAGTCTGATTAATTTCTTGGTTTTAGTGAGAACTCCAGCTAATTTAATAGTAAATTCTGTTTTCTGAGTGTTTGTAAAACATCGTCCAGGAGTGAGGGCCCCAAATCTAGTGTGAAGGAAGAGAAAGGGTCTGAAGGATCAAAAGGAGGTTTACGGTTCCTGGAGAGAGTTTCAGAGTTCATGGTTTGGGCTCTGTAAAATAGATCAGGCTGTGTTTGAGTAGCCTTATGAAAATGGCAGGAAGTCCTTAAAAAGGAGATATCCGTAGAGGAAGATGCTCTGTGGTCTATTATATTGGGGCAGCTGGCAGTGTCCAAATATAAGCGAGGTGGTTTGGGAGGCGGCTGTGTTTTAGTGGTAAGATTTTGTTCACTTTGACATGACAAATAGTCTGGCTTTTCTTTGAAATTTCTTAGGAACCTCTTTTTGTCACACTGTTCATTGGAGTCTAATGTTTGACTGTTCTGGTTCAAGATAATAGCCTGGTTGCCCAATTTCTTGTTCCTCCTGAATGAGAGCCGCTTGAAGAAACCTGAAGACCTAATAGATCCTCTCCGCCATGTGTCCATGTTGAGACAACAGTTGAGACAACAGTAAAGTGATGTTTGCTAATTAATCAATAGTCTTTAGGTAAACGGTTGCTCCTGGAGTCAGTGAACTTCTTTCTTGTTTGCTAGAAGAAGAAAAGAGACATTAACAAGCAGGTTTGTGTATTCAAAGTTAGGACTTGCTTGCATTTTAAAGAAAAGAATGTGTAAGGCAGACATGTCAAACTCACGACGTCATGTGACGTCGCGCGACGTATCGGAGCTTTTTTGCCATTGCCGGCAATGGGGTGGGTGCGGCTCCAGTATGATGAAACCGGCCCGCGGGCCGGCAGTTTGACACCCCTGGTTGTAAGGAGTGCTGCAAAAGTAATTTTCACAATAATTCTCATTGCTAGAATTCTGCAACCCTCCAGGTAACTAGGATTTTGAGAAGAATACTGAATAAGTGTGGTTTCTGATACCAAAGCCCAAATGTAAGAAAATACTCTGCATCTTAGACAGAAATTTATCTCAGAATTAAACATTGTATTACTAGTATTTTAATTTGGTATGCATTTATATCTAAGCACAGTGCAAGACCTACAAGGTATGTACAGTTAATAAATTCCAGATTCTTTTATTTTTTCATACTCCTGAATGCTTATTCAAAGTCCAAATTCACAGAAGTACAATAGAGGAGCTTTCAAGTCAAGATGATGATGATGATGATGATGATGATTGTATGGCATTGTTACATTGGCCAGGAGACTACAATGCTAATGCAGAGTAGTAGTTTGACTGCCAGTTCACTAACTCTGTTGTGGTACACGCTCACACGCTTCCCAAGATGCGCCACAGGAGGGCAAGTTGGCTTCGCACCAGAAAGACAAGCGGCTCCTCCTGCAGGGTCATCCAGGGCACCCTTCCCTCCACCAGAGCCACCTCACAAATGGACATTGCAACCAAGAAGGTTCAAAGCCTGCAGGAATCTGATGGCCTGCGTGAAACACCTTCTGGCCTCCCCACTGAAGTAGTACCTATTTATCTACTTCCATAGAACATGCTTTCAAACTGCTAGGTGGGCAGAAGCTGAAGCAAGTGACAGGAGCTCACCCCGTAATGCAGTGCTACGACTTGAACCGCTGGAACAGAGACCATCTCCAGCATCATTAAAGCATTGAGCCACCGCGCCTCTAAGTCAAACTTGATTCCTTGTGATTTCTTGGATATATCTATGTAGTTTTCCTAGCAACAATACAAAAGTGATATGCTATTAATTTCTTCTGGGATATTTCCCTACTTTCCTGTTCAGCCCTATTCAACCTGATGGTCTCTCATCTAATATTAGCTAGGTTCAACTCTGCTTAATTGAGTAGCTGCTGCCATCTAGCTAGATATTTATAGTTAGTCCAGCCCTTACGAACTTTAGATAAACATCATAGGTTTAAATTCTACCTGCAGTGGGACAAAGTATGGCATTCTTTGGGAGGGAGCTTATTCCCCAGCATATACCCTATTGGTATAGATTCCTTGGCATTAGTTTGCATCATCTTTCTGTTTCATTAGATTATATCTCCCCTATTCTATATCCAAGCCTCCTCCTCTATTATTCCAGTTTCCACAGTCTCTTCCACAGCTTTCAGTAAATGTCTGCCTCTCTTTTGACTTCCTCATGCTCAATTCAGTTCTAATTTCCCCTTTTGTTGCTCCATAAACTTGCAATAGCTTTACTTGTTCTGCTCATGCATTTATTCCTGTTTCCTCTTTGGATCAAGAACTAATACCTAACCTGGGCTTGCTCCATTTGATCAACATATCAATAAGTTGTCTTTCCTATTTTCTACTTGTCAGTCTGTGATGTACCACTTCATTCACACTGACAAGCTGATGCCCATTGTATGTAGAGGCTAGACAGTGAAAGAAGATATGGAAGTCTCCATTGTTTCTTATTTGTGGCCTGCCATCCCTACATTAGCCCATTTTTACTATGGGAAGGTGTTCTGTATCGTGGCTTCCAAAATGTGCTGATAAATCAAAGCTGAGTGAAGGTATAAGTATTGGTAGAACGCTACACCTGGATCCCATAGTGAGCCGTCACAATAATGAAAAGTATTCAATTTCCTTCTGTGAAAAGTTCACTATGGGCCTCTGAGAGACAGGCATCTATTAGCAAAAATACCGGAAGGATTTATAAATTAAGTAATTATGGCTTTGAGCTTTAAACAAAATAAAATTTAGAATTAATACTTACAGTGAGATGGACCAATAGAGAAACAGCCAAGTGGGGAACACAGAAGGAAGCCCATCCAGTTCAGTGCACATTGCGGTTTCATTCCTTGGCAGTCGTTGAAAGATCATAGCATATTTTCAGATTTCTTTGTTTCAAGCACCTTTCCTTTAGCACCTACTTTTCACTTCTGGCTCAGCCACTCATATGTTCTGTGGGTGGTAATGCCTTTGTGTGTGTTCTACGCCAAGCCCTTGCTGACTCAGTTGCATTAGAAACTGGGATTTATACTATTACCTAATTGCCTGGGTTGCAGGAAATAGGTGTGTTATGAGTCTGAAGCATTAGCCTACGTTACTTTACCTCAAGAGAAAACTAGAGCTTCTGTGGAACCTTGGAACCGCAGATTTTTATTCTTCAGGAGTGTTACTGGAAGAAGGTACAAAATAAGGAAATAAAAGAGCACCCAGCAAATTTAATTCTGTTGGCCAAGCTCCAAGAGATTTATGTAATTCCACATATAGTTTCAAATAGAATGTCTCTTCCTCCCTTCCCCTCCCCTGTATTGAAATGAGGATGGTGCAATAAAACACAGAATTCCAGTACTAGTGACTTACATCAAATAACATGGCAAATGGTTAGGAAAAAAATTGATGGCCTGGGATATTTTAAATCGTCTTTGCCCGTGTTTTTGTCTAATGCTTTTGCTTCTCCATCGAACTTGGGTCTTATCTTTGTGGTATTAAAAAGTGACATTTTTGTAGATTCTATAACAATTTTTCAGCTGTTCCTCCAAGTATTTTCTTTACTCTGGTTACATGGCTGTTTTTAATATTACCCTTTTTGTAAGGAACTTATATTAGTTTATTTTCCTAAAAGTTATTCTTTCATCCTTTATTGTCAACATCAAATTAAAATAAGACTTGAAACAACATTGTTCGCCTATCAACAAGATAAATTCTAATTTATTCTTCTATTCCTGTAATCACTCTTGCCTTCATTAACTTATGCAAAGAAGTATTTTTCCAGACATCCTAATGTGAGTCAGTATGATATAGTGGTGGATATTTGGGTAGAGATACCCTGAAGTCTGTTTCAGTTCCTGCTTATCTGTGAAACTTGCTGTGCTACAGTCTAGGTAAAATCAGGAGTGTCTGCAGTGTAGTGTTGTGTATAAAGGTCTAATTTCCTTAGAATCAGGAGAAATTTCATGTTACTGCAGTATAATAGGAAGTACTAATGCAGTTTCGTAATAGCTATATGAGCAAAAGATTCAATACATTAAATTTAATAAATGAATATCAGATCGCTTTCATTTACCATAGGTAAAATGGCTACTGTAAATATTCATATAAAGAGAATTCCTTTATATGAATGTTATTTATACTCTATATATGAATTAGCTGCTTCTTTAGATAGCAAGAAAATGATGATAAATTGTACCAATATCTATCTATCAGTCTTAGAAATAATGTTCCTGCATTAAGATTTCCTAAATCATACTTAATATTCAATGAAACATTAAAATCAACATTCTGAAACCAATTCCCTTATTGAGAGGTGTAGAAGCCTACAAGTCTACTCAGACTTCTTCACTTTATAATTTCTATAGCAATACTTTCTTACAAGGCTACGTGAGTAAATTTGGAACTGATGTAATCCACTTTCTTCTCTGTATAGAGCTTTTCAACTAATCTGATTGGCCAGATAATTAACAAAACTACTTACAACACTATATAAGTATACTTTCGCTTATGTAGCATATATAGACGATGAGACAATAAAGAACACCTATCTTTAAAGATTTAGGTCAGCTTTTGTCTGCAAGGGAAGTCAGGTAGATGCCTCTGGACAATATGTGATAGCAATTTACTGCTGCATTTTGCATAGCGTTTGATATTGAGAAAATCACTGCTTGCAAAGTATCATTTAAATCATTATTAATATCTGTTATGTTAGGTTTCCTGCCTTAATCCTAAAAATACATGATTTAATGTGTCAATCCCATATCGTTTGCTAATGTGTGCCATCACAGAAGAAAACTAACCTAAATGTAAGATGTTTGCCAGCGTGAAATTTCTAAAATGCTAGCAGGGTTAAAGCAAAAACCAGTATATAGTCTCATAACATTTTACATACATGTATGAACTTTATAGCAAATTGGTTTGGATAGCCATGTTAGACCTCTCTTGGTGTTTTGTTTCCTTCTTTCAGCCTTTCCATTTGTTTCATGGCACTTTGTTTGTACCCCATCCCAGACCCAGTCCAAAAGGTAAACCAAAGTCATTTTTGTGGATTAGAGCCCCAACTTTTTTTTTTCATTTTTGCTTAATAAGGTTGTGCCTGGTACCCTAATTTTGTGAGTGAAATGCATTGGTGTAGGTTTGCCAAGAAACAGATTTCATCCCCTTGTATTATTTTTATAAATAATTTAGGATGGCATACATAATACACTTCCCTACTCCTATTTTTTCCAACCCTGTGAGGTGTGTGTGTGTGTGTGTGTGTGTGTGTGTGTGTGTGTGTGTGTGTGAGAGAGAGAGAGAGAGAGAGAGAGAGAGAGAGAGAGAGAGAGAGAGAGAGAGAACCCAAAGTCACTCAGCCAGCTTGTATGCCTAAGGCAGAATTAGAACTCACGGTCCTCTGGTGTCTAGCCTGGTGCCTTAACCATTACACCAAACTGGCTCTATAACTACAGGGTGTCTCCAAAATCATCTCTGAAAGGAAACAGAATATAGCCTTGGCTCTCCCATCCCATCATTTCCAAATGTGCCAAAGTTTCTATGGGTAATTTTTCTTTCTCAACTTTAGCTTTGTGGACATTAGCTCTGGAAGTTGAATTCTGGGAGTTGAAGTCCACACGCCTTAAAAGCCACAAAAGTTGAGAAGCACTATTTTTAGACCATAGTTCAGTGGTGGCGAACCTATGGCACGGGTGCCAGAGGTGGCACTCGGAGCCCTCTCTGTGGGCACACGTGCCATTGCCCCAGCCTTGCCTCCCCCTGCGACCCCCTCACCAGCAGCCCCCTGGAGGAGAGTCTCCCCCAAGCGTGGCCCACGTGGAGCAGCGCAGCCCAGGACATGGCAGCCAGGCAGCGTAGACAAGACTCTGCCCTCATGCCCCATCATGCAGTTGATGCTGTGGGGCACGGGCAGAGGGCGTGGCCACCATGGTGCTGCTGGGCTGCCTGGGCGATCTGTGGCAGGCCCTGGAGGCGGTGAATGGCCCTGCGGGCAGATGGGGTGGGGGCGGGGCAGGGGATGGAGTGGGCCGGGACCAGTTTTGGGCACTCGGTCTCTAAAAGGTTCGCCATCACTGCCATAGTTTCACATTGTATTGGCCTCTCAGCTGGGTGTTTCTTTTCTACAGCTCCCTCAGAAATCCTCCAGAAACTTTTCAGGCTTGGAGGCATACATACAGGTTGGTCTTGACTTATGACGGCAATTGAGACTGGGATTTTCATTGCCAAGCATTGCAGTCATAAAATGCGACTGCATCATCGCTTAGTGACAGCAATCCCTGCAATCTCGGTTGCTGATTTTAAATGAATCTCACAGTTTAGGCAAGGCAACTTCTTGCCAGCTTCCCACAATCGAAATTAGTGGGGGACTCTGCAAGTTCCAAATCAGTAAGTGCTTTGCTGCTGGGTGGGGGAGGGAGCGAGGGGATGTGCAAGAGGCGCTGGTCAGGGAAAGTGGGTAACGTGCATGGGAGGATACACGAGTCAGGCTGGATACATGAGAAGCAATACATGGATCAGGGAGGGTGCAAGAGGTGCTGTGTAGGTGAGGGAGGACCAGGGATGGTGTGTGTGAGAGGAGCAGCACAGGTCAGGAGGCTCTTTCTGGGGAAGCTGGCAAGGAAGGTTGCAAATGGTGATCAGTTGATGCTTGGCAACCAGTCCTAAATGTGAACTGGTTGCCAAGCTCCCAGGACTGATTATAGCCCCCATTTGTTCAATGCTTAATTTCAAATGGTTGTTAAAAGAAATGTTGTAGATCAAAGACTACTGTATGTTCAAGAAATACGGCAATGCTTCAACAAACCATTGTTCTTTGGACCAGCTGTAAGCTTTTCTCAAAAAGAAATACACCTGATGAATAGAACCTTTAGAACATAATCTAGAATAATTTGTTCTAAGCTCCGTTTTAATATGTGGGATCTTAAAACTACTTAATTTTGAATAATTTGTATGACTATTAAGCATATTGGGATGTCAAACATAAAACATTTTTTCCTTTTGGCACTTTCCAGCCAGATGAATAATGCTATGTATACTGTGCGAAGTTTGTTTTGTTTGTAAAGAGTAATTTTAATATCTATAAAATCTTAAGATCAGCTGAAAATGCCAAGAATATTTCTTGCCGAGAGCCAAATAAATTGCCAATATGCAGTAATTAGTAGTAATGTAGCTGCGCTAAATGTAGACTCTGTATTTCTATAGACATTTGAAAGGTACTCTTGTATTGGGGTGGCGATGCTTTCCAGATCCAGAATAAAATAATTATGCATGAAAGACCTAATGGAGCTTCTGAAACTAACTGCAGTCACTTCTTTCCACAGGATTCAGTAGTTTCCGAGAGGGATTATGAAAGTCTTGTGATGATGCGCATGCGGCAAGCTTCTGAGAGGCAGAAGCTAATTGAAAAGATGAAACAGGAAGATGAAGAAGAGTCTTGTACATAGTAGAAGTGGAAATGGCATTACCATGCATTTTTGCTTATAATTCTTAAATCATTAAAAACTATTTGAAGGAAAAACTTCAAAACTACTGTAGATTTCTTGGAAGAATAACTGATCACCCAAATTAAGGGGTGATATATAAAGTGAAAATCTATTTCAAGTATTTTCGGTGTATGGCTTAAATTACTCTGACATCTGGAATTTATACAGCAGTGGCAAATCTGCCTTTTGGAAAAACCATATCCCTTCCTTCTTGATCACCCTGTTTCCCTACTCATTGAACCAATATGAGTTCTACAGCACACTTTCTATGATAGAAAATGTTTTCTGCTCATCACAACTCATGGCAAGTCTGACTTTAAAGGCTCATCGTGCTCTTCTCTCTAACGTTCTTTATCAATCAACGTATTTCTTAGATGTAACAAAATCTTTTGTTTAAAAGCGTTCTATTGTTACCTTATTTTTTATCTTTGTAATAAATCTGTGAGATTTGTTTGGTTGAAAGCTGGTTACCAGCTCAATTTCATAACTAAATTGTGATCTTGCCCATTTTCTCAATTCTTATCTAGGACTCTAAATATTACTGGTGGTCATTCATGGCCACCTACATCACAAGGAAATTGAACCACCTATCAGTATTGACAGTGCAATCTAAACTAAAATAAATTCAAATTACAAAGAGGGTTAATTATCTGGCAATTCCAGTTCAGCAATAAAACAATGTGAAACTAACGTAGCTCTTTGAATAAGAGAGAGATGGTGCACTAGTCCCATTACCTGCCAATATATGTTGTATATTTTATATTAGTGTACCCTTCGGGATACTCATTATTTCAGACTTTTGCTCAAGATTGTCAATTGGTATATTACAGGCTTTGGCAGCCTTTTAAAACTGTCTGGTAACAAACAGTTTGAGATACAATATTAGGTTGATTTTACTATTTTTTATTATTATTTTATCAGCTACTTAGGAATGTTTTCAGCAGACATAGTGTAAATAATCTCAACAATGAAAAGGCAAGTTGGTACAATTAAAAACTATATGGAATTATTTAAAGAATCTTTTCTGTACTATTTCAAGATATACCATGTAGAGATAATAGAAAAGCCACATATCACAATCTCAAGATTCTAGTCACACTCTTGAATGGGGACACTGTAGTATACTTTAAGTACATTATGTAATTTTATAGAGGTAAATTTGTATGGTAACAGTATCCCTATCAATATTAACAGACATTTTCTGCATGATCATATATCTCTGCTATGTCACACTGGATCTAACCTGAGACTGTTACTAATATAGTGGATTTAATGCCAAGTTGTCATCGTTCAATAAAGTGGCGATAACAGTTAATACTGCCAGTTTCAGATTGGTACCTGAAATAATACTTAATAAGGATTCATCTCTTCAGGAAATTCCAGTCCCAAAGCTGTGAAGCTTCTTAGAATGATGCTTCTTAGAATGATGTAATGGTGCTTACGATTTTAAAGCCAGGTTTTGATAAAAGTCTCACTTCAAAATGCCTGAAGACGAGCAATGCGATCTCAGGCTTATGCTGGGTGGTTTACAGCAATATTTTAAAAATGAAGCATTTCTTTGTGAAGACACCACACCAGTGTCTGCCCCACTCCTGTCATGCTGATCACTCGATAACCACACTTCTCCAGCTTGTCCAAGACGATCCGTGGAGCATCATTCACATAATATTCCCAGCTGTTGTAAACAAGACAAAAAATATGAAAATGATTTTTTTAAAAACAATTTCAAATAATTTGTGTTTATATTGATGAGAACGTAAACTGAATAAAAGTTTAAGATTAATCTTTTAGGTCTTTGTTGCCCCACATTTCTGAAAGCTTCCAAGTTTTGGGACATAGCAATGGAGCCTAGGGACAGCTTTATTCACAAACCCTCATGAAGATATAACGCCCAGTTTTATATATTTGGTCCCAATAAACAAATCAGTCAACAACGGATTATTTATAATATTATTGTAAATGTTAGGGCATTGTTACAAATACAGCTCTACCCTAATCTGCTTTTGATATTTTACAGGGCTCTACTGGATTTGTTCTGTTTTCATCTATGAACTGACCCTTCTGGCTTGTATTTCTAAACTGCACAGTTTGCAGCCACAGAATTAGATCCCCCTGAGGCTTTGTTCTTTTTCCCTCTTCTTCTGGTTATTTATGTGAAAAAGGCAGTCACCACTGCAAAGCAAGAAGGGAAAGGAGAACAAGAAGTAGAGACGTGAATGGCAAGGGCGGGAGTAACAAATAGCATTGCGTCATTGGGGCACATACCCTGCACTTTTTCCATGTGCATCATGATGTTGCACCCAAATATGAAAAGGACAACGCTTATGGTATGACACTATTTTTGGCATTATCGACAAATGCACCCAAACGCAAATGAAAATCCTGGGCAGTGGGTAAAGGTGGAACTTGGGAGACAGAAGCCCAGGCTGGTCCAGCAGCAGCAGCAACAGAATTTCTCCTCAGGATGCAATGCTCCACTGCTGACCAGGATGGAGATCTGACAGAGACTGGAAACTCCGTCTCCTTGCGAACAGGGGATTAGTTCTGTCACCAAGTGTCCCATTCGCAAGGAGACGGAGCTTCCATCTTCGTCAGATCTCCATTCGGGGGAAAAGGTGTTCGGGCGTCTATGAGGCGCTTCGGAACTGAGTGAATTGCTTCATTCCAAAGCACTCCATAGGTGCCCAAACACTTGCCTCTGCCTCCGCGTGCGGACTTACCTGCTCTGCGCCAAGGGACTGGCAGACTGCGGCTGCTTCCAGACACCATCGCGCCCCCCCCACACCACTGCTCGTGTTGGCCACGCTCACCCCACCAGCTTATTTTTGGGGTAAGGCTTATATTAGGCCCACCCCAAAAAAATCAGGCTCGGGCTTATTATTAGGGTGGGTCTTATTTTCAGGGAAACACTGTATCCAGGGGTATATTCATGGCCCTTTGCCCTTCCACTGGCCTCCACAACCCTTCAAAGAGCAGATACCTTCAAAGAGATATTCATCTGACAATCTTCCAAATAGAAGAGTCATCTTTAAAGTAAGACCTATCACTATTTATACACCAGCTTCATACTTGGGCATGTAAAGGCTCTGAAATCACTAACAATGGAAAGTCAAAGGACGTAAACATCAACATGATGAAAAGCTTAGAATGGCTTCTAAAATAGCATGTTTTTGAACTACTTAAGTAAATATGATTGTGATCTCTTCACCAAATTTTATTTCCAATACTTGTGGAGAAAAGTTAATAGGGAAAGAAAACACTTATTATTTTTCATCTTCAATTCTAAAATATTGCTTTCAACTGATTTTACATTTTTTCTAGGTCTTCAGAAAAGTGCCCTGAAAACTAATCCAGTTTACGTACTACAGTAAGCCAGGCCTTGTTTCATTCATAGTTCATTCAATAAAGAACAACTGGCTGAGTTGAACTAATATATTAGTTAATATTTTATAAATCACAACGCCTGGGTTGAACATGATATCTTAAGCCAAAACAACTATATTGTAACTTAAGAAGATTTATATTTATGTTCATATTTATTTATGGTGCCTCAAAGGATAACATTTTGCACATCAAATTCTAAAGCTGCATAAACAGAGGGAAAACAGATGGCATAAAACTGGCAGGAGGCCAACATACTAGACTGGAAGACAGGCCCAATCTGGGGTAATGATGGGGGTTGAAGCAAGAAAAGAACTGAGTGGAAATGGCTTGGATGAAAATTTCTCTGACGCTATCATTAAAGTAAATAGGATTCTAGTATTGTTGTCATCATTTGGGCTTTAATTTAAATGATGAATGAAAAGCTCAAGAAATGTCTTAGATGCATCAGAATTATCCATCCATCCTGAAGAATGCACACAATTTTTCGGAGCAAAAGAATAAAGATGACAAAAAAAGTTAGGAATATATAGTTTGTTAATAAAAGATTTCCACCCAACTGGGCACCAGATTTGGGAAAGTTCTCTTGTGTTGTCAAAATTACTGATTAACAAACAGTGATATAAGCAAGAAGCAAAAAGAGGAATACTTACAAATGATTTCCCAACATGTTTCTTTTAATGGCCCCTAGATAGTCCATCAGGTTTGGATCTGAATGTTCATCACCAACCATTGTAGGTCCAACTTCCTGCAAAGAGAAGTGACCTTTTCTGTATCGAAAGCAACATTAGCATCATCCCATTATTTCATTATACCTCTCGTCTAGTTGCAAAATTTGAACACCAGATAATAAAGATCCTTGGCAGAAACCACAATTCAAGATGGTTTATGAAAATCTCTTAACACTGTACTTTTGTCCTCAGGTTGAGATTGGCCTATTACCACTCAGCTTTGCACACCTGCCCATAATAGTGTATCTAAATTTACTACAATGCATTTTATTTTTTCCCTTTTTATTGTGTGGTTGTAAGACATTATTTCATTGTATTATTTCAGCATAGTGACATGTATATAAAAGTATTTTTATTTATTTATTTATTTATCTAATGTGTTACATTACCAGCAGACTACAGTGTTAATACAAAGTAGTTGTTTGGCTGCTCATGACTGCTGGTTTGTTCAATTCATACTCGCACACTATCTAGAGTGCACCACAGGGGCGGACTAGCTCCACACTCAGAAAGGTTCAACAGCATTCTGCAGCAACATTTGGGGTTTCTCCCTCCACTGATGTCACCCTGTGTTTGGGAGTTGCATTGGGGTAGGTCTGGCATTGGCTGGATTCACACTACTACACAAAACGCCATTATTTTTCCACCAAAGTGGTACCTATTTATCTACCTGCATAGAGCATGTTTTCGAACTGTTAGGTTGGCGGAAGCTGAGGCCAGTGACAGGAGGTCACTCCACCACAGTGCTAGGACTCAAACCGCTGGAGCAGAGACCACCTCCAGCATCTTAACGCCACTGAGCTATCGTACCTTATATAAAATAATTAAAAATCACTGACATTCTATTACTTAAAGTATTGAAACTAGAGAAGAGAAAGAAATGAGATATTCTATTAAAATGAGTTACAATTTATGATATCAATATCACAAGCATTAAAATTATTGAGCTTTTTCATTCAAAATTCAGTATAACATTGAAAACCAATGCAACTCAAATCAACATAAAGGTTTCATCGTTGGTGTACACGCACACGCACACACATATACATACAGAGAGGACTTCCCCGAATATATAGGCATTGATTAAAAAAAAAATAGGTGAATGGAGCAGTTTTAATGCTACATTATTCAGACATTATTCAGAACGTGCCAGTAATTTCCAACACATTTGCCAAAGATCTCCACTAGCATCCAGTTTGATGGTATTTCTGATCTCAGGTATTAAGCACACCTTATATATTTTAGAATCAAGATGTCTGATCAGTTGACTTCACCTGGAGGAATTTATCTATTCATTAAAATCAGACCTGGGGCTCCTTCTGGTAGATAGATGGGTACATAAGTATTTATTTATTAAATGAAAGCATAGCACTGCATATGAGTTAATAACACTTTAAGATCACACTACCATTTGACAGCAAAGAGGCCAATTTATGGTAGCAATGTTGTTTTTCTCACTCTAAATGAGGATAAGGGTGGGAGCCAGTTGGGGAGGGGGGCGAAATCTTCCCATTCCACTCTTAACACCTACGTATTCCACAAGTGCCCTAAAATCGTACCCATAAAAATCAACAAGTTTGCTGTAAAATTTTCATGATACAATCTCAAATCCCTTTTCCACAGAATCATAGAAGCACTAAAGAAATGGTAGTTACGGACCTGTCCTTGAGGTTATGGCTTTTGCAGTGCCCCTGCAGTCACATGATCAAAATTCAGTCATTTGACAGCCCACCTTTTTTTTAGAGTTGTTTTAATTTCTGAACCACAAGACTTCACTATTAGGACACAAGGAATGGTTTTTCCTTTACATAAAACCAAAGTAAAACCATTGGCAAAAGGTTGGCAACAATACCCTATTCACTTTTACCTACTTAGAGCTATGTAGCTATTTGTGTGTAACACTCTACAATTAGAGTTATATAACATATTGTTATAGCTCCCCCTACAGGCTGAACATGAGACAGCATGAAATGTTTTCAATTGATCTTTTTGAACTAATCGATCTTGTTTTCAATTGATCTTTTTTTTCTGACTTTTATTCTTTTCAAACCAATATTCAGGATTGGCTGGCACAGATCCTTTTATAGCAGGGGAAGGACTTTTTGCAGTTGTGGGGGCATCATCTTCTTTTGAAATAAAATATAGCTGAGATTTGCAGTGGATGTAAATTAATTGCTCAACATTCAACCTACTGTCAAAAAAGGGAGAAGAGTGTCAGATGGAGAGGAGCAGGAAACTTAATGCATCTATTTCACTTTCTCCTTTCACTAGCAGCTAGTTTGTTGAAAATCCACAGAAATTCAGTTTGCTGCTCAATTTTTGTGCATACTTTTAAAAGTCAATGCAGGGTCGCTGAAGGGTGTCAACACATGATTTATGTCTGGGAATCCTGCTTGGGGAATTTGGGTCCACACATCTTAAATTTTCCAAGTCTGAAAAACAATTATCTATGTCATGCAGCCACTGGAGAAAAAGGACTTTGCTTGTTTAGCTTAGGAATTTTCTCCTAAGACTGGGATGATGAATCTCCACAGTCTCTGTATCCCTTTCCCCAAAGTAATATGTAAGTAGCCAGAAGAAGTAACTAACGGCCATCAATTTTCTGTATACCTGTAAAGTTAAAATTTCTGGACGTGTAGATTTTTCCATGTTTCACTGTACTGATCAGATAATCTATATAAGCAGGGCCAGTCACATCTGAAATGTACTTCTAAGTAAATTCCACTATGATGAGAGGTTCTCGGTTTACAGAAAAATGGATAGGTTCACACAATGGCAAATCTAACAAATGTATCGTCACACAATTGTGTCACAATGCGGTTAGATCCCTGATTCCATGAAATGGTCTGTGAGGCACAAAAGTGTATCCAAAAAGAAGAAAAAAAGCACTGTGTAAAATGCCCAGTGACTTTTGATCGTTTTTCCTTCAAGAGATTAACCAATCCAGAAATTGCAACTCTGACACCTTCCAAAGCAGTCTTCCCCAAACTCATGCCCAGAGGTGTTGGGATTATCACTTCCAGTAATCCCAGCCAACTCCATTTCTGGAAGTTGTGGTGTCTACACATCTGGAAGGCACCACGTTGGGAAAGGCACTGCTCTAGAAGCAGTTACAGGTGGATCCTGCCAACATAGAGGAGCATCATCAGAAATCTATTGCTATGGGTGGCATTCATGTATCTGCACAACCAAGCAAATGGCAACTGAGAAAAGAAAACAATACCCAACTGTAGAACTGCATGCAAATTACACAAAGTGACCTGAGATATTTTATCATCCCCAAAGTCTCTAGTACTAAACCAGGCATGAAGGGGGTTAGACCAAATTGTATCAACACATATCTACATACATATGACCAAGGAAAGAAGCCGGTGTTCATATATTTCCGCCAGACGAATATTTCCAGAAATCAGCTAATTCTTTCATTCTTACTTTTACCCAAATAAAGATATCGGCTCCCACCCCGTCTGGATATGTTTTCCCACACACACTGGCTTTCTTGATTTGGGAGGGGAGGGGGGGTAATCAGGAAAAGTTCAACATTCCCAAAATAACTGCATGCTTGATCTCTCGCGCTCTCTTCCGCAGCCTCCCACTTTGCAGCCCCAGTCCCGAATCGCTCACCATGCGGATCTGAGTGCTGATGAGAACGTACGGCATGATCCCTTAAGCGCCCACCAGGGTGTTGAAGGTGGCCGCAGCAGCTCCAGCGTCTTCTATTTTCCTAGTTCACTTCCACACGTGACATCCTGCCTAACCAGGTTAACGCCCTCCTCCGGAACAGCCAATCGAAGAGCGAGCCACCTAAGGGCGGGGCCGGCACGGAAGTGGTGGCCGTAAGGTAAGCTTTTCGGCTGTGCACAGCTAGGGCTGCTTTAGTTCGTGGGAATGCTGGACCGTGGCCAGAAAAGACTAAGCCAACGTGTACAGTAATCAAGCTTCTCTTTATAATATATTGGGTTTTCCTCTGTTTGTACAGCTGACTTAGCAGAACAAGGAACATTTCGATAGTCGGTCAGCAAATAAAAATTTATTGTCTGCATTTCTGCATGTTATTCATCTTTGAGTGAACAGCCACAGAATGCTTGTAAAGGGATGAGTGGGTATTGCTTGCATTTATATTCTTTTATAGCACCTTGTTATCATTCCCTACCCGTCAAATTTATTTACCATCCTTGTGCACTTTAGCACCTAACAGATTATGTTCCTGAATGCTTACTGTACCTATTTCCAAGTGATTGTAATTAAAAATATGTATGCATCTCATTTTATAATCCTAATTAGGATATGAATAATACCTGATTCTGAGAAACGTGGCAGATATATGATGACTACCAAATTTGGGAGCTGAAGGAAAATTCGGTGGAATAAAAGCTGACAGAGGCATCTGTAGGATCCAACATTTTAGTTAAAACGATGAAAGTGGCATCATGCCATTTCACTGTAAGCTTCAGTCTCTTCATGCTGGCCCGTGCAACATCATGATGCATGGACCAGAGTGGAACTTGTAGCTTTGTTTTTATCATTTGTTTCCATTTCTCTCATACCTTTACAGACACTTCTGTGCCCCTACCCAGGTGGTAGCACTTAGCAGGTGTTGGTAGATCTCAAAAAACTAAGAAGGATCACACCTGGTTGTATTTGGATGGGAGATCAGCACAAATAATAAGGTCTGTAGTTTAAACTGAAGCAGAAAAAACATCCCAGGAGATAAGAACTGAATTCAAATGAGTCTTAGAGGGTCATGTTGTGGATATATTATGCAAGGAACCAAGTCTCCTGAAAGAAAAAGCTAGAAGCTAGGAGACTGTGAATTCTAGTCCTCTCTTAGACATGAAAGCCAGCAGGGTGACTTTGAGCCAGTTATACTCTCAGCCCTGGGATTGTTGTGGGGAAAATAAGACATGGAAGTATGAGGTATATATGCTGCCTTACGATGACAAAAAATAAAAGCAGAATATATCAAATGAAAAAGAAGTCTATAATGCTGAACTTGATTACGACAGCCATGAATGTACAACAAGACTTAAAAGGCCAGGATGAGGATAGATCATCCTGTTAACACCTTGACTTAATCAAAGATCAGTCAATGTTTTTTCCAGATGGAGGTGAATTGCAACATTAAATACTCTGAGCCTTCTATTGATTAAGAGCCAATTTGATATAAATGTTAAGGCATCAGGCTAGAAACCCGGAAATTGTGACCTCTAGTCACCATCTGGGTGACTTTTTCTCAGTCCTAGGAAAGAGACAATAGCAAATCACTTCCAAAATCTTGCCAAGAAAACTGCAAGAACTAGTTCAGGTAGTTGCCAGGAGTTCTCAAAAGCATACCCTTCTCATTGATGAATGCAGGCTGTCAGTGGGTGCTTAGTATCATCTTTTGATTTGGCTTCTTCCTGATATTGTCATGATTTTTTGTTGCAGAAGGGAACTTTTATTGTTTAATGTTATTGTAGAAGGACTGTTACATCATACTAAACTGAGGAAATAATTTTGGAGACATGCTTAGCTGACTCTGCCTTCTTGTTCATGGTACTCTGGCTTTGTGATGGGATAGGATAAGGAACCACAAAATATAGGATTAGCGGCTTCCTATCCTGAAAGTCTCAACATGGCTGTTTTTATTTTTATTTCATTTTTTTTCAATGGGTAAAATGGCACAGTTAGCTCAAGAAAGAGGAGTAGATCATCTGATGCTTTTAAGACAAATACTGACCTAAGACACTCATCCTAATGTTTGTCCAGATGTCTACAGAAGTTTGCAAAGAAATTTATGGTGATTATTTGCTATGAGGTCACAATGATTTATCTACCAGAAAGGAAAATTAAAATACCAGTAAAGCTCTCATTTATTTGAAAAAAAATTGCTACAAAAAGCAGATAATCTAAGAACAAGTTATTTTTTCATGTTTTTATGTTTTATTTGCATTATAAATACTTTTAAATGAAAATTCAATATGTAAATACTCAAACTTAAGTTTGTTTCATTTTTCAGAAGCATCTCATAATGTGAGGCCCTAAGTAAGCTTGCTTACTTACCTTTGTCTAAATCTAGCGCTGTGGGCAAGTAAGCAAATGCTAAGTCTAGTATTATGAGAAAGTCTGGTAGCTAAGTCTTTGGACAAAGAAGGGTGTGGTTTCCAAATCTAACAACGCTTAAAGCAGATTTAATGTTGTCCATAATTCCTCTCAAGTTGCTTGCTAAGAGCTTTTTTAACAGTAGAAATACTGTAGTTGGCAAGCATGGTCATTTTTCTGCAAGAGTGTAAGAAACATTTTCAACTGACTTTCCAGGACTTGTTGACTGATAAAGTAGTAAACATGCTCATTCCAGTAGCATCCTGTAAATACTGGGATTCTGCTGTACCTCGGAAATAATTTGAAAAAAGTGCTTTAGGATATGCAGAAATACAAATGTAGTACCTATATATGTGTCTTTAAAGCAGCTGCATCTTTTCTTAGGAATGCACTGTTGATCCTTGTAGCGTCATATGAAAAAAGTTTCTGTTTGGCAATATGAGACATTGGAGTTCTGAAAAAAATTGGGACAAGTAATTAACCAATCAATCCATGCATATACAAAACAGATTGGTATACAGTATAATCCCAGCCAATCAGTAAACTTCATTTCTCCAAAAGTCCTGCACAAATAAAGTTACAAAGTTAGGATGGAAAATAAGCATTTGCAACCCAAAAACTAAGGTTCAAAAATTCCAACAATGCAAGATGTCAACCCTGAGATAGACATTATTGTGGCTAATTAAGATTACCAGTTCAATGGATATGGAACATCATATTACTTAAGAAGCACACAAACCAATTAAATACTTGCATTTAAACCAAACAATGAAAACTTAACCTTTAGCACCTCTCCCAAGTGCCCTTCTTGATCCTTACAAACTGCCCATTGGAGACAAAGGGGCACACATATGTGCAGGCATAGCTGACCAGGAATATGCAATTACAAAAAGCTAAATGGAGGGCAAGGGAAACTGTGCACACACACTTGTCTGACAAATCACTTGCAAAAAAAGAAGTGCAAACTAGGTAACATCACCAGTGCTATTGAATGTGAAGTTTGGTTCCTGTTTATTTACAGTAGCTTGCATTACCAGTGTCGGTGAGAGAGTGGTTTGCTCCTTAGTAGTTCCTTGATTGGAATATTTTTTTTTCTGCTTGATTATTTGCTTGATATTAATCCCTCTTTATCTGAGCATTGGCTGCTGAAGGGGATGTGTTCTGGTCTTTTTACTAGCAAATGCTAGTATTGCCTCGTTGGGTAGTAAAACATTTGCAAGCAAACAATCAAGCTCAGAGAGCACGAAGGACACCACAATTCAATCCTGAGCTACACATATTCTCTTCTATTGAAAAAATTTACAAGTAGTTATTCGGTACTTGCATAAGGGCAACTGCAAATAAAATGTTACAGATGAAGAATTGCTATTACTATAAGTAGCATCACAACAGATAACAGATTTGGGAGATTTGCTGCCTTGCAAGCTGGAAGCAACTATAGTATCCCACCCCAACCAGTCCTGTCACACTGATGTTCAGAGATGTATGAGTTCTCAACTATAAAGACATTGTGATAAGAAAGAATTTAATTTAATCCCATGTAATTGCAGATTTTTTTTGCTTTGGCAACATTTGCATATGAAACAAATAACACAAAAGGCTGAAACATGCTCTAGGTACAGATAGTGATATGCTTGCTGGAAATTAGATATACATAAACAACTCTATCATGCCCAATTGCACTACCATTCTTAGGGCCAAATTAAACAGGACACAAGAACTATCTTGTTTGTTTGATAGAAATGCAGCAATTTGTGGATCTGACTGAAGCAACCGCAGGGAGAGTGTTGTTTAAAACTTGTGCACAGTCCATACTTTTAAGGTACATCACACATTAGAGATGTCAGACCCCAGAGATGTTGGAAAAAGTACAAAATCAAAACACTGTCACCAGGAAAAGGCCTCTGAGCAAGAGATAAGGACTGATCACACAATGCTACAATTAAATTTTAATGACGTCTCATTTCCAGGGTTGCAGGGTTACAATAATAGCAGTGTGTGAAAGGTTATTCTTACTGTAGTAAACATGTTTTGTCTCATTTTATGAGAATTCTTTTGAGGTCATAATGCCAGGCCCTCAAATTTTAGATCCAGAATACCGGTAGTTTAAAACGTTAAAAAGTTTATGCATATCTATCTGCAAAACACACTTGATTTACTAGAAATTCCGCATTCTAATGGCAAGAATTTTATAAGAAATCCACAAGGATCGTGAAAACAGGGATATGGTTTAATTTTATGTGTTTTGATATTACTTTCACAAAGGCAGATGTGCTAGCAAGTCTATCCGAATTCTAGCAGTACAATTTATTGTCTAGATACGATCTTTAATATCCTTTAAGACCTAACTTTAAACTCCCACAGCCTTGATCCTCTATCATTCCTACACAGATAACAAAAGGACAACAAATAATAATCTGAAGCCTTGCCTCAGAATCATTTCCTTTTCCCATTCAGCTCTACAGATCTATCTAATGAAATCTATTCTACTTGCTTTCATCAAATAATCCTGCGTCACCTGACAAACCAAAAGCACTAAATGCAATGCTCAGTCTTACGCTATGGCTTTGCGTTATTTGAGCATGAAACAAAACCATTTTTAAACCAACTATTATTTGAATAATGAGAAAATCTTTCAAAAATTAAAACAGGTAGTAGAAGAGACAAAAAAAATCTTACCTCATGACATGTAGTCTCAATCACATCTAAATCAGTGCTTCTCAAACCTGGATAAATTACCCAAAATAGGATGAAAGTGGTTTGGGGGGGGCAGTAATGACACACAAAATCATTATCCAATTACAATGACTTAAAATGTTTTTACCTACATTGGGTAAAAAGTTTTGGATAATGAAAAAGGTTTGGAAAGCACTGTGCTAAATACATTGAACATTAAAAAGGAAACTTCTTACTGAGATATATTACAATAAAAGTGTAAGTAAAGCTTTTGTTGGCTTCCACGAAATATTTGAACAAACATGCAGGTTGATGTATACCCAGTCGGGATCTCTGAAACAATTACACTGCTTAACATAAACAGTAAAATTGGATAGTGATAGTAACCTGGTTTACAATTCTATGGCCAAAAGAATGATGGAAAAAATACAATTATTGCCTGTCTATAAAACACATTTTAGCTGTTTTGAATGAATAAATAAACGTTTGCCGATCAATGTGTATTGGTGTGAGTGTGTGTTCTCCATCAATTGACAAAGTTAGGATTAGAAGACAGAAGATGCAAGTTGTAATAATTGTAGCAGTGCCAATTTAGTGTAGCGATTAAGGTGCTGCCCTAGAAAGCAGAAGATGGTAAGTTCTAGTTTTGCCTTAGGCATGAAAGCCGGCTGGGTAACTTTGGACCAGTCACTCTCTCTCAGCCCAACCCAGGTCACAGGGTTGTTGTTGTGGGGAAAATAGGAGAAGGAAGGAGCATTATGTATGTTCATTGCCTTAGTTACTTATAATGTAATAAATATGAGATAAAAATCTAATAATAAATAAACATCAGGAAGAAAAAGTATGAGATATTGGAAAAGTACCATGGCCTAAAGGAGGGACTAGAAAGGATGTGTAAAATAAAGGCCAAAGTAGTCCCAATGGCAGCAGGAGCACTTGGGGCTGTGACTTCTAAGCTGGAAAGTAGCTCCAACAGATGCCAGGCGTGCTAGAAACAGCTAAGATACTATGCAGAACCCTCAAACTCCCAGGCCTCTGGTAGAAGACCCAAAGCTGAGATCACTTTGCACAAATTAATATTACTTAAGGTTTCCCAATTTGGAAATAATAATAATAATAATAATAATAATAATAATAATAATAATAATAATAATAATAAAAGTTGGAAGGGACCTTGAAGGTCATCTAGTCCAACCTCCTGCTCAGGCAAGAAACCCTATACCATTTTGGACAAATGGCTGTCCAGTCTCTTCTTAAAAACTTCCAGTGTTGGAGCATTCACTGCTTCTGGAGGCAGGTTGTTCCACTGGTTAATTGTTCTAACTGTCAGGAAATTTCTCCTTAGTTCTAGGTTGCTTCTCTCCTTGATTAGTTTCCATCTGTTGCTTCTTGTCCTGCCTTCAGGGGCTTTGGAAAATAGGTTGACTCCCTCTTCTTTGTGGAAGCCCCTGAGATATTGGAACACTACTATCATGTCCCCCCTCGTCCTTCTCTTCATTAAACTAGACATACCCAGTTCCAGCAACCGTTCCTTATATGCTTTAGCCTTATTATTTAATTAAAAAGCTAACACAATCTTTGGTTGTGTAACAGAGGCATAGAATCAAAATCATGTGAAGTATTAGTACACCTGGAATACTGCATCCAGTTTTAGTCACCACATTACAAAAAAGATATTGAGACTTTGGAAAAAGTGCAAAGAACAACTAAGATGATCAAGTCCTGAAGACAAAAACATATGAAGAACAGTTGTCAGCAGTGCTTTTTTTGTAAAACAAAAAGGTGCCGGAACTCACACACATCATATAACCCGCCTTGCCTACCCTACAAGGTTCCATCCAAATAAGGTGCCGGAACTCCGTTCTGGGCGTTCTATGACAAAAAAAGCCCTGGTTGTCAGAATTGGATATGGCCAGCCTAGAAAAAAAGGGGTGTCACGATAGCAGTATTCCAATATTTGAAAGGTTGCCACAAAGAAGAGGGGGTCAACTTATTTCCCGAAGCACCAGAAGGCAAGAAAAGAAACAATGGATGGAAACTAATCAAGGAGAGAAGCAACCTGGAATTAAGGAGAAACTTTCTAACACTGAGAATAATTAACCAGTGGAACAGCTTGCCTTAGTGGTAGGGGCTTCATCACTAGAGGTTTTTAAGAAGAGACTGGACAGTCACCTAGCTGAAATGGTATGGTCTCCTGCTTGAGCAGAGGGTTGGACTAGAAGCTCTCCAAGGTCCCTTCCAGCTCTATTCTGATTGATTATTCTGATGTGATCAAATGATCTTATGTAAAAACTCTTCCTCCTTCAAATATCGGAGGTGATAGCAACTTTTCTGACTAACACATTTTATGAAAAGGCACATGCTTTCATTAGCTGCAGATCCGCTGATCAAATTCAACATACACCTTCATAAATCTACGGGCATTAAATCAGTTCTAAATGCAGGTACAGTAATACATAAATGTAAGCTATAAAACCTACAAAGTGAATGCAAAGGCTCTAGGTCCAGATTTAACACATTCACTTCTCTCGCCCATGCCACTTCCTCCTTTTTTCCTCATTGGCTCCTTAGGCACATGCTTTGAAACAAACGGGTTTACGAAATAGAGGCGTGGCCTTGCGTCAATTCTCCGCGCCATATTTTTTTTAAAAAAAACAAAAACACAGGCAAAGAAAACTGGCTTGTCAAGGGCCGGGCAAAGTTGAAAGGCAAAACCCAACAGCGGGGCAGGGCGATGATATCATTGTAATGCGACTATGGGGAAGGGAGCGGTGTGGCTTCAGAGCAGGAAGGTGAAGGGGAAAAAACCGCGGTGGACGGTGGCCGCTTGAGATCGTACCACGCAGGAAGCGAAGCGGTGTTGGGAATACTTAAATTACGTGGTGAGAGTCCCGCTTGGTAGCTCCCCTTGTTTGGTTTGACTCTGTTGGATGTATTTCTCTGTAAGGCCCTTTAATGTGGGGCTGCCTTCGGACGTAAATCTCACAGGGTCATGGGGATTGCACTCCGATAATAGTTTCTACGTTTGCTGGGCGGAAAGGCATGTGTTCCGGGGGGTGGGGGGAGAATAACGCGATCCGTCTCGAAGGCGACATTAGGCACTTTGCTTTTCAGCGTGTGAACAGGCTAACACGGCTCCTCTCTTTCCCTCTGAAATGCAAAACCAATTGCGTTGGAGAAGCGTTAAGTGCCAACGATTCCCTAGACCAGGGGTAGGCAACCTTGGCTCTTTAATGACTCGTGGACTTCAATTCCCAGAATTCCTGAGCCAGCCAAGCTGGCTCAGGAATTCTGGGAGTTGAAGTCCACGAGTCATAAAAGAGCCAAGGTTGCCTACCCCTGCCCTAGACACACGTGCGCTCCGCTTGGTTCGAAAGCGGGTGCCACCCTGCGCTATTTCCCGCTGTCTCTTAAAGTCATCACGTGGGTGCGGTAGGTGTTGGCAGGGTTCCCTTATGTCTAAGAAGCGAAATGTGATTACATGCTAGCGGCTTCTTTGAGTTTCACTTCTCCTAAGCCGCGTGGGCAAGATCTGAATTTCCATCTCAAACATATTCGGTGACTGGGCTGTTCACCTTTCGTTCCCTGCCACGTCAGAGGCAGGAATCCAAGTGTTGAGGTCCGTTGTTTCACAAGGTTGTATTGAGCATGATTGATCGATTGATTGTGTGTCATCGAGTCGTTTCCGGCGCCTAGCGACAACATAGATTTAAGATGGACAGTGATTAATATTTATATGTATTTGTATGTAAGGGTGTAGGTATATACATATGTATGTATATAGCATGTGTATATGTGTGTTATGTAAGTTTACACTTGAGAGCAGGCAACAGAATTTCATTTTTAATGTGTGCCCGGGTGCCCACAGTAAAAAATGACAAAAGTTATCTTTGTTCATAGTATTGACTATAGAAAAGGCCAATTATACTTGACTATGTGATAGTTGCATGGTTGGTTTCATCGCTTGTTGACTTGAAAACTTGACCAGCAAAAAGAAAAATATGGATACTGTTCTTTAAAATGGTTGCAAACTCTTGAGGATAGGTCCTGCATCGTGTTTTAAAATGAAAATATTAAAGTAGTTGGTTGGCTTGTCATTTTGTACTATAGGAAAGCGCATGAAACTTTTTAACTGGATGTTCCCATTCTTGAACAGAGGCTTCCAAGGTTGTATAGGTAGACCTCAACCTATGACCACAACTGAGCCCAAAATTTAAGTGAGAAATTTGTTATGTGAGTTTTGTCCTATTTTACAACTTTTCTTGCCACATTTGTTAAGTGACTGCAGTTGTTAAATTAGTAACATGGTTGTTAAGTGAATCTGCTTCCCCATTGGGTTTGCTTGTCAAAAAGTTGCAAAAGATGATCACATGACCCCAGGACACTTGAAACGTCATAAATGTGAGTCAGTTGTCAAGCATCTGAATGTAAATCATATGACCATGGGGGTGCTGCAATGATCAGAAGTGTGAAAAATTGTCACTTTTTTCAGTACCGTTGTAATTTTGAATGATCACTAAGTGAACAGTTGTAAATTGAGGATTACATGACTCACATAAATTGGACTTCATGCAACTGTTTCTATAAGTCATATAATTTTTAAGGCATGGAAAAAATGGTGTGGTGTATAGATCCAAAGCAGCAAGAGATATAGATAAATATAGCAGAGTGAACCATAAGATGGGCAGCAAGTCCCAGAAGAGCCTTTAAGTGGAAGCTTCGTTTATCCATTTGTCATCCATCCCTTGAGAAATTTGTAAGCTTGGTTTGGGGAGAAGATACTTGGTTAGGTTCCAGTTTGCAAAATCAGGTAATACAAAACTTTCCAGAAGTGGTACATGTTGGGGAGTGCCTAAAGTCACATTATTTTCAGTATCCAGGGTCTTTAAACGATCTCCTGTGTCTTCAAACAATTATATAAGCTAAGTCTAAATTTTAAAGAAATGTTCTGATATTGTCTCAGAAAAAACAATTAACTCTAATGAAATTAAGCAAGGAATTGCTATTGAGTCTACAAAGCATTATTGTACTTATTATTGTACTTGTTTTTAAAGCGATATACTGTCAAGCATATATAGCTGAAACAAAATTATGTTGCCATGTGCTATCCTTAAAAATACTTAAGAGTAATTTTAGGTTCAGACGGTTATTGTTAATATATGATGTAGGCCTTTCTCCTGCATGGGATAATTTCTTTCTATTTAATTTACTTTAGATGAATCATGCCCAAAACAGGGGTTATTCGTATGGGGCTTGGTATAGTTCTTGGAGCAGCTGCAGGAATAGGTCTCATCTTTTACTTCTACAAACAGAAGAGAAAGAAGCCCAGTCAGGAAAACAGTTCAAGATATCCAATTGTACATTGTCAGCAAAATGCTATCTATGTTCATGAACATGCAGAAACCCTTCAGCCTTATAATCAGGGTAAGTTGATGATTAATTTATTTGGCATTTTTATTTATTCAAGATTGTACTTACTCAGAGTAATAAGATATTTTTCTTCCTAGCATTTTTCCCACAAGTTTGGGGCTGCTTTTTGGGGGGCGGATCAACCATGTGTTGATCCATTAATTGTGACAGGAAGTCATGGGCTGGCTTATCACCTGAGCCTGATGTCGTTCATGCCTCAGATAGGATAAGAATGCACAATCTCCTGGTTTCAACCCTGGTGTCTTAACCATGAGACCAAATTGGTAGTGAGAGAGTATATTAGATCAGGGCTTTTCAACCAGTGGTACGGGTACCACCTGTGGTACATTGGCACCTGGCAGGTGGTATGCGACCATCCTAGAAAAGTGGTAGCGGGGGAGGGGAATGAGCTGAACTGTGGCAGTACCGCACAAGTCTGAGCAAGAGATGGCTGGAGCTGCAGGGCTATCAGGGCTCAACGGAAGCACCAGGATCAGCGCCAGGCTCCAGCTGGAGCTCGGCACTGATCCTGGTGCTTCTGCTGAGCCCTGAAGAAGCACCAATCAGCTGGAAAGCAGCACTGATCCTGGCACTTCTGCTGAGCCCAGAAGAAGCAGTGATCAGCTGGAATGTTGCAGCATCTCCAGGGTCTTGTGATTTACATTCAGATGCTTGGCAACTGATTCATATTTATGACGGTCACAGTGTCCCACGGTCATGTGAAGTGACCAAAACCTGTTGCAACCACCCAGCAGACGGGGGGAATAAAAACCAAACACCCCCCCACCCCACCCCCGCTGCCAATCCTCAACAGAAATGCTCACAACAATGAAAACCTTGGACAGGACGAAGAGCACTGCCGGGCGCTGTCTTGCTCAGCTGTGGCTTGGAGGGCACATCATCATCATCATCATCATCATCGTAATAATAATAATAATAATAAAGTTGGAAGGGACCTTGGAGGTCATTAAGTCCAACCCCCTGCTCAGGCAGGTAACCCTATACCAGTGGTGGCGAACCTATGGCACGCGTGCCAGAGGCGGCACGCAGAGCCCTCTCTGTGGGCACACGCCATCACGTGGTCTCTAAAAGTTCGCCATCACTGGCCTAAGGCCAGCCAGCCTGGAGCCGCCATTGGGGAGTCCACCATCCCACCCCACGGGCAGGGTTGGATCTCCCCCAACCCTGCCCGGGTCCCACAGGTGTCCCTCCCCATAAGCAACATCAAGGTGGCCACCCCCACCCTGGCCATGCCCACCCAGTCTGCCATGACTACTGCAGCCACATCCATCCAGTGGCCATGCCCACCCAGTCTGCCACGCCCACTGTAGCTGCGCCCGAGTGGGCCACACCCACCCGGCACCCGGCGATACATAAGTGGGTTTTGGGTTGCAGTTTGGGCACTTGGTCTCTAAAAGGTTCGCCATCACTGCCCTATACCATTTCGGACAAATGGCTGTCCAGTTTCTTCTTAAAAACTTCCAGTGTTGGAGCATTCATCGCTTCTGGAGGCAGGTTGTTCCACTGGTTAATTGTTCTAACTGTCAGGAAGTTTCTCTTTAGTTCTAGGTTGCTTCTCTCCTTGATTAGTTTCCATTCGTTGCTTCTTGTCCTGCCTTCTGGAGCTTTGGAAAATAGCTTGACTCCCTCTTCTTTGTGGCAGCCCCTGAGATATTGGAACACTGCTATCATGTCCCCCCTCATCCTTCTCTTCATTAAACTAGACATACCCAATTCCATCAACCTTTCCTTATATGTTTTAGCCTCCAGTCCCCTAATCATCTTTGTTGCTCTTCTCTGTACTCTTTCTAGAGTCTCAACATCTTTTTTACATCATCTTTGTTGCTCTTCTCTGTACTCTTTCTAGAGTCTCAACATCTTTTTTACATCATGGTGACCAAAACTGGATGCAGTATTCCAAGTGTGGCCTTACCACAATTTTTTCAGTGCCATTGTAATTTCGAACAGTCACTAAGCGAACCTGTACTTTATCACTTTTTTCCTTTTTTGGGGGGTCAAGTTTTTGACACCTTGCTAGGCGACTGGTGGTACTCGGATGTTGCCATATCCTAAAAGTGGTACAATGGGTGAAAAGGTTGAAAAGCCCTGTATTAGATCATTATTCCTCATTCAATTTGAAATTTGGTGCCAGTGTTCCCTTCTACTTTGCTTAATTCCAGCGTAGATATGATCTGAGACCACAGTCCCTTTGTTCTTCTAAATGAAATTATGAATTCTATTCTAATTACTGTATTTTAAAGTAATTTCAACAGTGCAAAGAGGGCTTTTTTTATAGAATTAGAAATGTAACAAAGCATTTCCGTTTATATGTTTAATGCATATTCTTCTTCCATGCCACTTACCAGAAAAATAAAGACTGCTTACTGAGATACCAACTTGTTGTGTTTCAGTATTATCAGAATTATTATGAGATACATTCCAAAAGCTAGATTTGGGCTCTGATTTCTCAATTCAGGCCCATTTCTCCAGATCTCTGTGTGAAATGTCTGTATTTATCTGTGAATTTGGTCCCTTTCTTCCTGCTTGAGTGAGTCCCAAGACTTTTGGCAATTAATATGTCTAAAAGCATAACATTGTATAAATAAAACATAATAAAATATTGTAAAAATAAGCAAAATAGATATAAGAAATCATTTTAGATAAAATGATGATTATGATTGACCTCTGAAATGAAACCAGTTGTTGCTAAAGGAGAAGGTGCTCCATAAGGCAGGGACCACTAGCTATGAAACAGCTTCTCCAGGCTCCTTAGCTCATATGAACCGCAATGCACAGATTTCCTTCTTGGACAAACATGTAGGGCAGGATCTACCTGTAGAAAGTGGCTATACCATAACCTAGGAGCCAAGCTATTTAGGAATTTAATAGTCTCTACTGGCAATCATTGTGGTACCCACATTATCAGTGTGATTCAGTAATGGCTCTCAATGGCCAATGCAATTTCTCCTAAACAAAGAGAAGATTTAACAGCTTTCAGCTGTGTGTGTGGCATCCAGGATCGCTCAGGACAGATCCGTGATCCCTGTCGAAAACCTGAGCCCTGCCAGATATCCTTCCTAAGCCATGGAAATTGAGGTCCCTCAGCACTAATATCTAGAGAAACTCCTGATCCAATTCTGCAATAAGAACCATCCCCATGCCAAGAGATCCTCCTCAGAACAGGGCAGTCAGTATATGAGCAGGAACCCTATGCTGTCCCTATACCAACCTAATGCAGAGATACTCACACTCCATCAGTCCCAGAAGTATGTTTCACAGAAATTTAAATTGATATTTGTTTATTGTAAATTGATTTAAGAAATAACTGGATATAAAATTAAGATTCAGAGCCAGTCCATCAAATGCATGTATGCAGTTCTATGTCCACATATCTAAAATTTAAAAAATTACCACTAGTCACAGTTTTGTGCAGTACAGATGAAGTAACTTTTCAGTAATTATTTTATTTTTCTCATACTAGTTCCATGGATGAGACCAGAACCAGTGGAGGGTGGTGATAGTGTTCCATATACACATCTTCTAACGCATGAAGAGCAGGCTGAAGTCTTAAATCGTCTTGATTTTGTGCTCAGAAGCCTTATAGAGTTGCGACATGAGGTGCAAGAATTACGGAACAGCCTACAGAGTTTAGCTGGAGGAATTATTGAAGAAGTCAGGTGTGTATCTGTTTTTCTCACATTCCAGGCTACAGAAGATTCCGAGTAGCAGAATCCAGAAACTATTAATCAAGATTTGTGTGAGATCACTATGTGACATTTTTACTCTTGCTGTTATCTGCAGAGCAGCTAGTTTCTTAGTCTAACCTACCAGTGCTCCCTAGCTTCATTTTTATTTTTTAGCAGAAGAAAGAACAACCTAATAATTCTGAATGTCAAAACAACTGTTGTATCATTACCATTATTGCTTCATTTTATAGCAGTGTAAAAAATGGGACACCATCCTTTTTAAGAAAGGATGTGGAAAAGAGGCAAAGTTTTTATTTTAAAGCTGGACATGCAGTTTTAATCTGAAACAACAAGTTTCCAATAATGTTGGGTTTAATAGCCTTTGCTGAATTCAGCTTTTTGTTTTTATCCTTTCTTTTATTTTGATGTCTCCTCCAGTGGTCTGCCTGCTTCATTGCCTCTTATGCTTCATTAACATTTTCATGGTCAAAGCAATGAAGCAATGCTTCCCTTTGGGCTTTTCCTGTTACAATGGTCCTGCCATTACGATGCCCTTGAGAAGCTATTGGAGAATGTTTCATTTACCTGAAGAAATTTGAAGACGTTGTTCCCCTCAATTTTTTTCTGCTCAAAATTGCAAATGACCTACTTTGCTTAAATTAACTAAATTTAGATAGCCAGCAGATGATGAACATGTTTCTGAAATCCAGAGCATGATCTGCAGGGAGTTTCCCATCAGGATGAAAAGCTAGCTATTTTATCTAATGTTTATTTGATGCTCAAGACGCTCAGAGAACGGATGTCATGCTTTTAATCCATGATCAGCATTTTGGGGGAGCAATTGTTTCCATAATACTATGAGAATACAGTCATGAAAGCAAATTATTATTTAAAAATACATTCTGAGAATATTTTCCTAGAATATTCAAAGGTTTTTCTCAGTGGTAACAACCTGTCCCAGTAGGTTAGATCAGGGCTTTTCAACCTTTTCACCCATTGTACCACTTTTAGGATATGGCAGTATCCGAGTACCACCAGTCGCCTAGCAAGGTGTCAAAAACTTGATGACCCCCCCCCAAAAAAGGAAAAAAGTGATGAAGTACAGGTAGTCCTTGACTTACAACAGTTCGCTTAGTGGCTGTTTGAAGTTACAGTGGCACTGAAAAAAGTGCCCCCCAAGCCACAGCCGAGCAAGACACCTGCCCGCCCGCCCGGCGGTGCTCTTCCTCTTGTCCGAGGTTTTCATTGTTGTGAGCTCCAGCCATCTCTCGCTTAGGCTTGTGCGGTGCTGCCACCGGTTCAGCTCATTCCCCTCCCCCGCTACCACTTTTCTAGGATGGTCGCGTACCACCTGCCAGGTGCCAATGTACCACAGGTGGTACCCGTACCACTGGTTGAAAAGCCTTGGGTTAGATCACGTTCCTATATTTGTTTTTTGCCAATTAAGGATTTTTCTTTTCATATAAGTATGTGCCCTACCTGTTTAATTTTATTTGCTGAGTATGGCCATTTTATGGGTATTTTAACTTTTATAAATATGTTTTAATAATTTATATTTTGTAAGTTGTATTCCAATTTTTGAGGGGGGAAATTGTTTTTTGATAGTTGGGCAAAAAGAAATGGACTATTGATTGTTGTAAGGTTTCATTGTCGTGCCAATCTCTTAACTTTGTAGGTCCCATCTAGAAGAAAGCCAAAAGGTTATTCGGCGGAGGCGGTTTATATACCCCAGAGAAAGAAGTGATTCCACAGGATCCAGCTCAATATATTTCACAGCCAGTTCAGGAGCTGGCAACACAGACGATGGAGAAAGTGAGGGGGGGTAAGGAACATTTAGTTTAGAACAAGGAATAGTTAAATGTAATTTGGCTGATCAGGAGATCAAGGCAGTTAGTAAGCAATTTAATTTGCATTTGCTGTCAAAATAATTTCCATACAGTGTAAGCTATGAGTTTCCAGAAGATTTGATGAATGAATCAGTTACATGTTTGTATATGCCACACATTTTTGCCCACTAGGCTCTTTCTGATTGGGCCAACATCTGAAATTTAACTGGATTTTCAAACTGGATTACTCACTTGCTCTTTCAGAAGCCAGGACTCGTAAGTCAGGAGCATGCCTTGGTTTGCCATCTTTATTTAAGAAATACAAAAAGCCAAGAACCAAAATTGAAATAATATTTGCTTTCTTGTTAGTTTAATGGTATATTAAAGTAGCATGAGCCACTTAGAATGAGTGGGACATACGGCTTGCTCACTGTGAATTCCCCAAGTTCTGGCTTATTGTTGAATATGAATTTAGACATTGGTTACTTGATTTTTAAATTCTGCATTGTGCTTGACACGGAAGTATAAATAACTGTATTTTCTTTAAAGCTATACTACGGCCAATGCAGAATCGGATTATGATAGGGAATCTGATAAAGAGAGTGAAGAAGGAGAAGATGAAATCAGTTGTGAAACAGTTAGAACTGGAAGAAGAGATTCCCTGGACCTTGTCAATGAAGATGAAGCAACGCTGAGTTTGGACACTGCTTCAGAAGAAGAACTTGCTCAGTTGCTGCACCAAGCCGATAGCTTACACAAAGGGACTGACCAGGAGAAGAGAGAAGGTTTCCAACTACTGCTTAACAATAAACCTGTGGTAACTCTTAATTGCTTTTTCTGGAAAAAGAGTGTGTGCGAATTAACAATGTAGAGAAGAATACAGGAGTTGTGCAAAGTCCTACCTAAACCATATTGATAAATCCAAGCAAATAAACTAAATGCAAACTAACCATTGCTCTTGTAAGCAATTAGAATCCTCAATGTGGCTGAGACTTGGCTTAATTTAAGAGCATTGAATTGCATGTTTCCTGTAACTTAAATAATTTAATAGTAAATATTCTAAGGCTAATAAAAGTGAAATTTGATCATCTCTATGTCAATAGTAAAGCTGTCATCAGACTTTTTTCCCCACTAAAGATAATTATTCTGCAAAGTTATATATCCAAGCTTTTTTATATTTCCAAAAAGGCTATAGGTTAATCTTTTAAGAAGCAACAGATTTTATAACATAAGCAAGAAAAATAATAATCCCAAATTCGTTTATAGAGAAAGAATCTCACCTTCAGTTTCTTTTCTTCCCCTGTGGAATTTCCTTAAGTACAATTACATCTGTAACATCTTTGTATTTTTATTTTGTAAAATACACAAACTATTTATTGTCCTTAATAAATAATCAGCATTCCCATAAAGATCTTTTAGCCTAATTAATTTTGCTATTTTTAAAGATACTTTGTCAGAAAAAAAATTCTTCTGTTTTTTTTTAACTCCCATTTTTAAAATTTATCCGTTTGTGAACTTAACTTGGATCACAAATTTGTTAAGCTTTTTGCCTTTAAATCAAAATCCACTAAAAACAATGTTTTTCCCGTTCTTAATTTCAAAAATAAGGCACTCATTCAGAGTCTTTCATCTTCCATTTGCATTTTGGAATATTTCTCTTACGTTGTAAAGTAATTAATTATTAAGATGTTTAAGAAAGTGGGGCTTCTGATGGTAAAAGGCCCATTGAGGCAGCACAGAGCTTAAGGGCACATTGTAGTTCCCTTGTCTCTCAACCTGCTCAAGTAGTGTTCAACCACAAGAAACTCAATTCCTCTGGTTACCTCATGAGGAACAGTTCTTCCATAGCACAAGTGGGTGATCCCTGGATCTCTCCTTCTCTTTGGAGAGATTTTCATCAACCAGAACTGGCTCCTGGTTGGCAGTTTCACCACAGTGCTGTCCTCTCTGGTGGAGCTGCTCACAGGGAGTTTCAACTGCCATTATTCCTTATCCAGAAAGCCAGTCCTCACCCAGAAACTGGAATAATTCCACTTTTCTATTTAAAATAAAAGAGCCAAAATGTTTTTGTACTTCAAACAAATGGAAGAGATTTTTTTTAAAAAAAATATTGATTTGACAAAGTCTACCTTTTAATACATTAGCCACATTATAATTTAGCCCTGAAACAAAGTGCTGCATGGTATATGCGCCATTTACCTTAATCTAGAAGAAACGAAATGCAAACATATAAACTGCTATTCATTCTGTCTACAGTATGGTGACAAGCAGGATTTCCTTTGGCATCTGGCCCGAGCTTACAGTGATTTGTATGAAATCACAGAAGACACAGAGGAGAGGCAATTGTATGCATGTGATGGTAAGAAGAAATTTTAGTTGATTTTTTTTTACCAATTAAATTCAGTCAGACATTTATTCACCTAACCTGGAAGACATTTTCTGGAAGTAACATTTTGCTGAAGTTTATTCGGGTTATTATAAAAACAACAGATTACATTAAAAATAGGTAGACTGAAAAGAGTTTAGATAAACAGAAAACAATATTGCTTCACAATGCTGCAGTTATCTTTACTCAAATAGATTGTATATTTGTGCTAGTTCACACTTCTGATTCTTGGCCAAGTTATAGGCAACTTTTCAGATTTCTGAACATAACGATTCCAACTCCCTTTGCTTCTTATATTGTCTTCTTTTTATTTCTGTTAACTGACCATTTGTTTCTCATATTAGAAATTGTGTGTATTTTGTACTTAAATCAAAATCCCAGCTTTTCTGTAGGCTGAATTTTACCTACATTGAGTATTTTCTCTTGATAGTTTTATACATGCTGAAAGTGAAGTTTGAAGGAATTTGACTTCAGTAGAAATCAGCAACCTTATAGCTTTGACAGCTATAATGACAGCTAAATCCTTAGACGGTAGATATTATTTGCTAAAGTGGCTAACTGCAAAACATACAGAGTTTTAGGCACTTTATATCAGTGGTTCTCAACCTGTGGGTCGGGACCCCATTTGGGGTTGGTCGACCATTTCACGGGGGTCGCTAAGCAAGGCTGTCCGCCATTTTTTTTTTGTCCATTTTTTTTTTGTCCGCCATTTTTTTCCCCTTTTCCGGCGGGTGCCTTACCTCCCTTGGGCTGGGCCAGCTGGTGGTTGGCCTGCTCCGTCTCTGCCACTTGCCAGCTACGCCTCGGCGCAGGGGGCGGAACCACGCATGCGCGGCGCTCCCGGGCAGGGAAAGTCCTCGACTTACGACCGGTTGGGTAGTCCTCGACTTACGACCGGTTTAGTCCTCGACTTACGACCGGTTTAGTCCTTGACTTACGACCGGTTTAGTCCTCGACTTACAACCGGTTGGGGTCGCGGCATTAAAAAGGTTGAGAACCACTGCTTTATATGAACCCCCAGCATTCGGTAATAAATATGTAAGATTTCATACAATGTTAAATCTCGCTTTGACAAAGATTAAAAAGTTGGGTTATATTGCAGGCAAAGAAGAGGCCGAAATGGCTCTGCAGTTAGGAGATCACAGTGCTGAATGTCACCAATGGTATGTAGTTGTTTACTTTATATATATAAGGGAAGAGAAAAGCTATTTAGGAAAAACAAAAACCTTTAACAGGAATGCAGTTCAGAAATTACCCTCCTCTGGGGAATATTTGCTCACTTGGCAGAAGTGTCTCTGAGTTTCACAGATAGTCCTGGTTATTATTACTGATAGTCCTCTACCTACAACCATTCAGTCAGTGACTGTTTGAAGTTACGATGGCATTGAATAAATGATGGTTGCTCAGTCCTCAGTTCTGGCCATCCCACCATCCTCACAGTCATGTGATTGCGATCTGGGCACTTGGCAACCAATCGTAAGTTACACAGTGCCCCAGAATCACATGATTTCCATTTGCAACTTTCCCTGCCGGTTTCCCCAGAAAGTCAATGGGGAAGCTGGCAGGGAAGATCATAGGCTGCTGGGATAAGTCTCTCCCACCTGTGCACCCTCCCCAGTTCCTCTGTGCTCATGTGGCAATAGCCACTTGCACACCCCAGAGCTCTCTCATGCATCTTCCCCAACCCTCCCTGATCCTCCCACTCCCACACCCCTTCACACCACTGTGCAGCCACACTGACCTGTGTCGTGTCTCTTGCATACCCCCTTGTTGCAAGGCACCTCTTGCGCACCCTTCTCAACCCATGCTGTGCCTCTTGTGCACCATCTTCGACCTGTGCTGTATCTCTCCCACACCGCTGCTGACCCGCACCCTCTCCCTCCTTCCCCCACCCAGCAATAGTCACTTATCTACCTGCCAGCCTGGATCTTGCAATTTCCTTCAGGCTTCCCTAATGACTTTGGTTGTGGGAAGCTGGCAGGAAGTTGCCTTGCCTGACAATCGTGACATTTGGTTACCAGTAGCAATCAGAATGGCCATCACTAAGCAGTGTGGTTGGAAATTCCACTCCCAGTTGCTGTCATAAGTTGCGAACTCTCCATAATTAACATGGTAAATGTTTTCCTCCCCACCTTTAGTTCTTGATTGCCATGTACAAATGGGCTCAGAACACTTATTTAGGAGGTTTATTTTATGTGTCTATTTGAATTTCTGTCCGTCCACACTGTCCTCACTGTTAGTGAATGAGAATTCTCTAATTCTCAAAATGCAATTGGTGTTAATCTCTCATGAATTCTCCTCAGTTTACTGCTCTGTCCTAATAATATATGCAATATAAAATAATTTTAGTACAATTGTCTAAATTATTTTACATCTCTTACTATAGACAAATAGTTTTATTGCTCAGACTGATTAGATGAAAAGTATTGTACTAGTAGTATTAATTACCTTTTTTCAAGCAAAAATAGAATTCTGTGGCAATTGAGCTCTGATTTTTACATTCTGCTAAAATTGCACAATTGAAGTAAGATGCTTCAAGTTCTAAGACAAGTGATATTAAAATACTGGGTTAGAAGTGCTCAGGTGGATGGAAGGAGGTGAATTGTATTAGCAGATGTACATATAGATCCATGTGGCTGCCAAAGATCTATAAAGTAGTGCCTTTTTCTAAAATGCAGTATAGATTAATCATGCAGCAATTACATAGCAAACAGTGCTAATGCTACAGCTCTTAATTCCTTGTATTCTGACTATCAAAATGTGTGAGATAGGAAGCTGCCATAAATATCTATCTACAGATGGACATCCATTCTATCTTTTCTGCTGGGCAGGAATTATGGGAAAGACCTGGATTCTCTCAAGATCTTACCTATTAACTCTCAAGTGTGGGCAAACTGGTTTTTTTTTTTTTAGTTAAACATTGGCAGCATTGAACACATCGCCATGCAAGACAGGTTTTATTGAATTGTCATTTCTATTCAGAGGACTCCATATGCTTCTTAAAGAAAGGAAAATCAGGAGCAGAAGCGTACAAGAAATTTCTCCAGATCACATTTGTCCTTTGAAAGATATGCTGGTGGTTTAAGTGAAGGCAGGCTAGAAGCTAAAACTGATTTTAATTAAATGAAATAATAATTGAATTACTTTAATGCTGCGCATATAATTATTCCACACTTGTATTAAATATATATTTTGGCAGAACATTTTAGAAGCTTTAGATTTGCACGTTAGGCTCTTGAGAGGCCAGTGGTTCCTGGGGTCTCAGCTGCTTGCTTCAGGAATAGAGGAGCAACAGAGGAGACAGAACGTCATAGCCCACGTAGTACAGGTAGATCTTGCTTAGCAACTGCCTCAGTTAACAACATTGATAAAAAAAGTAACGTTGTAACCATTGACCATATTGGCAACCATCACAGCATCTCTTTCTTCTCTCTCTCTCCCTCCGTCCCTCCCTGTCTCTCTTTCTCTTTCTCTCTCTCTCTCTCTCCCATGTTTGCCATTTTACAGATGGTCAGTCAGTCCATATTGTCCTCTACCTTAGCCCTTTCTTTATTCCCCACCTCACAGAGAAGACAGTTAAGCAACATCTTCCCAAAATGCTTTTCTCCACTCAAGAGAGCTTCCACAAAAGATGCTAACTACAAATTAAAGTCAGCTGCTTTTGTTTGCCTCCTAAGTTGCTTGGGATGGGAGCCCAGTACATATTATTTCTAAAAGCAATACTCCTTTTGTGCAATGTAACACATGAGAAATGTGTCTTCAAATAAGTCTGGTAGCTGATTTTTACATAAGATACTGTATTAGTTGTAATGTTTAATCCTGTAGTTTAGAGAAAGAAACATGCAAAAGGGGTCAAAACTCTGGGACAACTCTGAAATACATAGCAGTTGCTTAATTTGCTGAATTGTCAATATGCAAATTCTCAGAGCTAGCAAGAGAAAGAAAAACACTGAATCCTCTTTCTTTAGGATGTCTGTAGCTTTTGCATTCCTTAAATTTTTTTTGTCTGATTTAAAAACCAAGATGGGAGATTGCATATTTGCTTTGGCTTCAGAAATTGATGTTTTAAGAAGAGCTGGAAGTCCAGCTAGAACATTATGGGATTTTAGTAATCCCTTTGGAGAAGAGGGTGCAGACGGAACATCAGTTTATTCATGTTATTTAAAAAAAAAATTACTGAAAGCTTACAAAGCTGTCTGCATTACAAAAAGACTGAACTGGCCTTCAGGGTAAATGGAATTGGTTATGGGAATGTATTGCTTTACCGGTAGAAGGATTGAGATGTTTATTTAGAAACACTGCAGCACTTTAAGCCTCCCAGAGCTGAGTTGCTTCTAAATAATATCCTTGTATTTTTGTGAATTTGAATTTAAAATATATTAATTTTTTTCTTAAATATTTTAACAACTGCTCAGAGTTGCTGGGAAAGGTAGCATGTAGGTTTAGTAGATGATGATGATGATGATGATGATGATGATATTGATTCTGGGGATTGTGCTATCAGTTTTTATTTATTACTGTTGACATATTTCAAAATCATCTTGTTTGTTTTTCATAATCTGAACTTTAGTATATAGACAGAGAAGCCTTTTGGTTTAATCTGGTGATATGTTGGGCGACAATCTTAATGAAGATTTTTGACAATCTTAATGACAATCTTGACAATCTTAATGAAGTACAAATAGCATCCCAGGGCTCCATCATCTAGGTGAGGGGTGGCTGAGGAATTCTGAGAGTTGAAGTCCACAAGTCATAAAAGGGCCAAGTTTGAAGACCCCTGATCCAGGTACTCAGGCAATGATTCCAGAAACAAAACCAATATCTTTTCCATAGTCAATCATTCATTTGTAATACTGTTCTTACTCTTTTTGGTCATATTTAATTCACTAGAAAGATGGATGAGAACACACCTGGTCCCCAGGACCTTGAACAGGGTCTTCTGCTTATGGTTTCCTATACTCTTAGTCATGTCATTCTGGGCTCTATGGTGGAATTGGGTGTTGGTTCTGGTATCCTTTTAGGTGCTTAGAAGTTACTATCCTTGACACATCTACACAAACAAGGAAGTTGGAAAAACATGTTTCTCATTCACCTGTAGTTTGTCCCTCCATTTTATAATGTCCACTTCATTAAAAAGTGACTGGCTCCATGGCAAAACAATTAAATGTTGTGATGCTGAAATGAGGGCGATGAAAAATGTGAGATAAGAAAAGATAGAGCTTGCATCACATCACAACGCATATTTCGTGATTCTGATAAAACCTCCAGACTATAGACATCTGTGTTGGTTCCTGCATAGGAAATGTCATACAGAGAGAGAGAGAAAAATCACATAACAAAGTAAATGGACTGGAAACTTTTGTGAGATTTTTTCAATGGCTTCCTCTATTCACTGCTGTTTTATTTGTTTTATCTGGGCCGTTTTTATAGCGGATTGTTCTGCTGAGATTTTCAGACTTTGTGTCATTGTTGATCTTCAACTATCAAAAACCTACTGTTGATGTATTTACAAAGAATGTAAAAGAAATAACCCTTCTCTAACAGATGTTGCAGTTTCATCAGTTTAGCCATTCTGTGGTCTGTTTTGGGTGTAAAGTTTCGATCTTCTGAAGTGAGAAGCAAGTCATACGTCATCCTGTTTGTCTCCCATTCCTTAGCACTAGCTTTCCTATGAAAATCTGGGCTTATTTAAAACCAGTGTTTTCTTTATGTTCCAAACAGGGATCTCTTGCTGAAACTCAGTTTATAACTATCTTTCTACCCTTGGTGGTCTCAAGATGATTAACAGTCTGAATAAAATATTAACAAATTTTAGACATTAATGAAAACAAATTGTTGTTGTTGTTATTATTATTATTGAAATCTGGCTGAATCACAAATGGAAATAGTGGGGACTAAACTTCTCAGGGTGTATCCTCCATAGCTTTCAGTTGTCAATTCTTCTTCTACATTTCCTGGGAAAAATTAAAAAATAAGATACTAAACATAGGAACAAAAAGGGAGGAGACCGCAAAATTGTATAAATTATGACTTATAGTCCAAAAGTGTCATAAAAGCCAATTTGGTTTCTCTGTGTACTGAGCCAGTTACTCCAGAAATGATTTATAGTACTCAGCACACATTAGAGAAGTATTTTGTGCATTTTTGAGAGCTGTTCAAATGGGTAATGAATAAAAATAGAGACTAAAAATAGTTCATTTGGATTTGGAATAGCCTCATGATGAATATACTGTATTTCTGTCTCTAAGAAATAGCCAGATAAGATCAGTTATGTTTGTTCATGGCCTTCTCTATTGCATTGTGTTGCTTTAACTGCCTAAAACCTGGTTTGGGGTTGCTAATTCTGCATCTGAATAGTCTTGTTATAATAAGAACTTCTATCATTTTATTTTGCAATGTAATACTTTGCTTTATTTTAAATACTTCTAGAATGGTTAGCCAGCCACCTGTTGGCTAAAAAAAATGGGATGTAGATATTCTGTTTTGTAAAATTTTAAAAAAGCAAGCAAGATATATAGGTCAACATGAGGTCTGATCTAGACAAGACTGTGTATTTCCTTACAGTCCTAGGTGACTGATTCTGTTTTTTCAGCTGGCCAAAGTTCATGAGAATCTGTTCACTTTGGAGACACCCGGCATTGCTCCAAGATCTGAACCATCAGTCTTATGCTGTGGGATAGCAGCAGGGGAGGAAAGAAAGACAAGACTAATGAAACTTTAAATATCTTTCCAGTTTATTTCCCAAGAAGTGAAATTTTATCTGAACCAGTGGGAGAATGTGTGGTATTGACTTTGTTAGCCCATGAGGCTGATTCATTTTGTTGTCCCAGATATTCCTTACTGTTGCTATGCAGAGTATGAGTTTTACTTTTGTTTGATACTTCCTGATTTCTTGTCTTGGCCTGGTATCTCAAACAGGAATAGAAAAAAAGAAAATAAAAAGTGAGCTTAGCCTCATCCTATGCTTGAACCTGACTGAGTTTCATTTGGCTTACTCCTAAATACATCTAAGCTTGTAGCTTTGAGGTGGAAAATATTTCACAACACTGCCACTGCTGAAGCTCGGTTGACAGCCCCATTCAGTAGATCAGACCAGAAAATAGCTCAGTAGGAAACAGCTCCATAGGAAAACCAGAAGTACACTTTGAGATTGGCTTTAGTAACAGAATCTTGCAAGTCTAATTGTGCTTAATCTTCCTCTTTCTTATACTCCTTCCAAACATTTTCTTGTTCCCCAGGATTTAAATAATGTTAAGCATACCTCTTTGTCTAGCTAACAGTTCTTGTGTATTTTTGTCAAGGTTACCTTATTCTCTGTACTGTTCAATTCTTCTTGCTTATTTAGTTAGTAACTTATGTATTTATAACATGGTAAAGCCCCACATTCCAGAAGTGCTAAGAAATGTATAGATAAGTTCATAAGACAATGCAGCTAATAAGACAATAAAATAAATCACAAAGCAGTAAAATAATAATGCCACAATTGCCACAGAGCTTATTTCAATTGTTCATCTCCAGAACTCTCCTGAAATAGTCAAGTCTCAGTAATTCTCTGGAATGCTACATATAGTGTGAGCCATTCTGGCATCTGGGATAAGCTTTCCTAAAGGAGGGAAGAAGTACTGTAATCTCCAAGAATCTCTGCTTCTGTGCTTTTACCGGTAGTACCTGCTAATAGGAGGAGATCTTTGGTACGCCCTCTCTTCATCCACACATCAGGTGGACTGAATTTACTTGGGATGGGCAGTCTCTAAGATATCCAGCCCAAAAGCCATATGGAATGTTTAGGTGATTTCAGTGAGAAAATGAACTGGTAGCCAGTGTAGCTTCAGTAGCCATGTTTTTAGGTGTCACGCTCCAAAAACCAAGAAAGACACGCTGAATAACCTCAAAGCAGCTTCCCTTATTGTTCTTCACCTATAGACAGAAATCTTGCCAAACTAAAGCAAACTTATTATTATTAAAGGTATACCCTGAGAATTTCTATGGAGGACTGCCTTGGCCCTCTTACTCCCAACCAAACTATCTGTAAGGTCCTGCCTCTGCTATCTTCTCAGGAAAGCATGACTCTTGCAACCAGTGGTATTTCAAAAGGGACTTTTACTGAGAGAAAGTGATTGCAGAGAAGCTAGGCGGAATCTGAAGTTCCCATGTGAAAACATTAAGCTAATTCCCCGTTGTTCAAACCCCACCCCAGTGCCCCAGTCCAACAGGAGCCAATCCACAGGCATAAAGGTATTTTGAGAACTCTGAGATAAAAAGGTGATAACAAGTTGTCATCTTGGCGGGGCCTTGGTAACAGGCTGAAACTGGCTGGAAAGTAATCCATCCAAAATGGCCTCATGGCCCATTCCTCCCTCCCAACAAATTCTTCAAACCCCAAATAGCCGTCCCCCTCCCCTTGGAATGGCAGTGTTCCAACAGGGACTTGACACTATCTAAATGTCACTGTCTCTTGCTCCTCTGGAATGCAGCTCCTCCCTCTTGACAATCCAAACAACGTTCTACAATATCACGTGACAATATTGTGTGTGCAGTGAGTCCCTGAGCAGCCATATTCTGCACCAGCTGAAGTTTTCAGGTGGTGTTCAAGGGCATCTCCACGTATAATGAATTGCAGTAAAGAGTGATTGTCTTGGTGCACACTTGCAGCAAGTGTGACCGTAATGAACTATTGTTTTGGAGGTGGTAAGAGTTCATGTAGGGTTTACCTGGCATTCTCTTTTCTAAACAATTTGGTAAAAGGCTTATTTTTAGTGGCCATATTAAATTTCAGTATTATTGTAACAATCTTCATTACATCAATTTAATAATATTTGAGTTCTTGCACTAAAATCTAACATGATTTCTTGAATATTCAGACCTTTTGTCTCAGCTTTGGTTTTCAGAACCATTTAATTGCTATAAGGCAGTGATGGCGAACCTTTTAGAGACCGAGTGCCCAAACTGCAACCCAAAACCCACTTATGCATCGTCGGGTGCCGGGTGGGCGTGGCCCATTGGGTGGGCGTGGCTGCGGTGGTAACAGCAGACTGGGTGGGACTAAAAAGTTCAATCAATCAATTCCAATTTTGCAAGATCTTTTTTTTCCCGCAAGAAGTTGAAATTGACTGATTGATTGAACATTTTTTTTTTGTACATGGCGGCGGAGGCCTAAAACGAAAAGGTTTTATAAAACCCAGCTGAAGGCCTAGGACTGGGGCGACGGCGCGCGTGCCCACAGAGAGTGCTCTGAGTGCCACCTCTGGCACCTGTGCCATAGGTTTGCCACCACTGCTATAAGGGATTAGGGTTAGATCAGTATTAAAAGGGAAGAATTTTTCTTCATATCTAACTACAAAAGGAATGATGGTTAATTGTAAGACTGTTCATTGAATGAGACCCAAAGTGCCTATTCTGGCACTGCCCTATTTTATTTTTCTTTCCCGTTGTGGACATTATTTCATTTAGCAATATGCAACTTGTCTTTGGCCGACTAAGAATAACACGTTGTATTTGTGAACTTTAAGAGCTTCAAACTTTGAACTGAATGCTATTGACTTACCTTGATAAATCAATTATCACTTTACCTTCGGATATCAGATTTATTTATATTTCCTTCATTACATTGATTATTTTCCTTCATATAAAAGAAATTGTGATGACAAAAATCATTCCAGAAGGGCATTAAAATTTAGCTTTGCCAGTTGGCCTGGGGCCCTCACCACGGGGAGTAGTTGACAAGTTGACAAGACCTCATCCCCATCCCATCTCTTACTTCTGGTTTAAGTATAGTTTTTAAAATCATAATCTGGATAGTTTTAATGTTTTAGTATTTCAATTATTGTTCTATTTGTTTTATAACCTGTAAGCCACCCAGAGTCCCCTTACATCCACTCCTTATGGGTGGCATAAAATTTAAATAATCAAACATTGAAGATTGTATGTAATGTAACTACTTCTATCCATTTTCTGCTATATTCTTTTTTTTACTAAATAAGGAAATTGTAGTAACTTACATTTTAGTGACTGATGTCCATCTATCAAAAATGATAGGATGTCTCTATTTCTGTAGAGAGGATATTAGGTTTAGATTAAGTATTTCACCTGTATACCAGAAAAATAAATACAAAACCATAACTGTACTAATGATGAAGCTTGTTGTAATTTCTAGGTATGCTATTCTGTGTGGTCAGTGTTCAGAACATGAAAGCATACAAAAGCGCATTCAAGCTGGACATGCCTTTAAGGTAGGTAGGGCTGCCTTATTATTATTATTATTCAAAAAGCTTTTTACTGCATAATTCAAGGGACTTTTTACTCCGGGAAAGAAAATCATGATACATCTTGAGCAAAGCTGGGGGGGGGGGGCTTTGAGTTGCAAATATTACTGATTGATTATAACCATGGTTTATTTGAAAAAATAATGTATGTGATAATTTTGATTTAAAGGCTTAGTCAATATTTTACACCAAAAAACTCTGACATCCATTCCACCCTGTTCTTGCCCCAAAGTTATATATCAATATATATATAACTAGTCTACTAGTTATATATAGAGACTAGGCTAATCTAAAGAAAAGAAGAAACAGGGGAGACATGATAGCAGTATTCCAGTATTTGAGGGGCTGCCACAAAGAAAAGGGCATCAAAATATTCTCCAAAGCACCAGAGGGCAGGACAGGAAACAATGGTTGGAAACTGACCACAGAGATAAGCAACCTGGAATTAAGGAGAAACTTCCTAACAGTGAGGACAATTAACCAGTGGAACAGCTTGCCTTCACAAATTGTGGGTGCTCCATCACTGGAGGTTTTTAAGAAGAGACTAGAAAGTCACTTGTCTGAAATGGTATAGTTCTCCTGCTTGAGGAGGGGGCTGGACTAGAGGACCTCCAAGACCTCCAACCTCTATTCTATTCTGCACCTAGGCATTTGGCTTTTCTTGTCCAAATACAGCACCTTATTTTTCTCACCATTGAAGTGCATCTTATTGGATAGGGTCCAATAATAGAGCTTCTTCTAATGGAATTTTCAGTAATTGTGGTGATGGATAGTGGTGTTGTATCCTTGAGGAACTAGTAAATTGTGAAATATATATGTGAATCAGACAGCTGTGGACAAGACAGTAGAATGGGCTATCTGGAGCACTCCTTGTTTGGAGAGAAATTATTGAAGAAAGAGCTAGTCTATTTGGCAAGTCTTCATTCTGCTACAGCCTTAAGCTCTACTATTCACGGAGCTTTCTTCAGTCCACCATTTCTTCCCTGGAAATCTGAAAATACCTTCCTTTCACTAAGGGATTATAAGACACAATTTAAGGCAATTGAGAAAAATGTTTGTATTTCATCTTCAGTGTAGACTAGAGCAGTGGTGCCGAACCTTTTAGAGACTGAGTGCCCAAACTGCAACCCAAATCCCACTTATGTATTGCCGGGTGCTGGGTGGGCGTAGCCATGGGGAAAATGGCAGACTGGGTGGGCGTGGCCAGGGTGGGCATGGCCAACTCGATGTTGCTCTGGCGGGTGGGGCAGTGGGCAGGAGGGCATCTTGCTCAGTGGGTGGGGGAGCATGGGGGGAGGCTCCTGAGCCCCGCAATTCTTCTGAAGGGGAGAGGGGCTCTGCTGGGATTGGGGCTCCTCATGCCTTCCGCTGCCCGCCTACGCTCTTCTGTTGAAGATGCTGCAGCTCCGCTTGCCTGGCAGGGCAGGGGCACGCTCGCGCATGGGGACGCACATAGGGCTGCTGCCTCACTTTCTGTGCCTACTTCCGCCAAAAGTTGCTCCCTTTATAGCAGTGGTTCTCAACCTTTTTAATGCCGCGACCCCAACCGGTCATAAGTCAAGGACTAAACCGGTCGTAGGTCAAGGACTAAACCGGTTGTAAGTCGAGGACTACCCAACCGGTCGTAAGTCAAGGACTTTCCCTGCCCGGGAGCGCCGCGCATGGGTGGTTCCGCCCCCTGCGCCGGCCGAGGCGTAGCTGGCAAGCGGCAGAGACGGAGCAGGCCGACCACCAGCCCAAGGGAGGTAAGGCACCCGCCGGAAAAGGGGAAAAAATGGCGGACAAAAAAAATGGCGGACAGCCTTGCTTGGCGACCCCCATGAAATGGTCGATCGACCCCAAATGGGGTCCCGACCCACAGGTTGAGAACCACTGCTTTATAGCCTCTTGCCTATTCCCAGATTGCGCATGTGCAGAGCGCATCTCTGCGGAAAGCTGCGCATGCGCGGACAGGAGGAAGGAGCAGCTCGGCCCAGCAATGGCTCACGTGCCACCAGAGACGGCTCCGCGTGCCACCTGTGGCACGCATGCCATAGGTTCGCCACCATGGGACTAGGGTATTACCAAATGCTACAGTAGTATATTTGCTAGAACAATTGCTTTAATTTAGCAACTACTTCCGCATGAAATTCTTGAATGCTTGCATTGAATTTCAGCCTTTTGCATGTTATTTCCTAATGTAATGCAAATGAAACAACTGTTTTGCCTGTGTGGTTTTGTTTTCCTTTTTCTTTAGAAACATATAGATGAAGCCATTTCTCTGAAACCAGATGACCACATGTCTTACTATCTCCTAGGTCGATGGTGTTACCAGGTAGATTATTTTCATCACTATGTTTTTTTTAAAAAATTCTGAGCCATCCTACTAAATAATTCTGCCCGTATGCAGAAAAGAAAATATTGACTGCCTTAGGGAAGTTTTGTATTTAAGTCTCTGGAATTGGTAACCAGTTGTTAACTATTGATAGAATTATCACAGAAACGCTCAGCATCATTGAGTGGTTCAGGGATTTGAAGAAGTGAAATGTCTTCCAAGAAAAACAAAGAAAGTCCAGTTGCCTCGTGAAAAAGCATCTTTGGGATAACTGTGACCTGGAAGACTGAGAATCTCCATAGACATACTTCATTCAGTAATGATACATGATTTAAAGATTGCTCACTTACAGGTTTAAAAGCAAAATGCATATTCTGGAACAAAGCACAAATCTACATAAGCATGAGTAAAACATAGTTATATGCAAATAAATGTATTACCCAAATACAATATTAATTTTACAAATAGATGAAAATCTATTTGTAAAATAGATTTATAATGAAATGGCACGCTGTTTCTACTTATCTTGATTGGCGTTTTCAACCAATATTTACTTTGTTGTATACATGGTATAGTATACATGTTGTATACATGGTATAGTAAAATATTTGTATTGTGAGCGTGTATTGAAACTGATTTAGGCCACGAGCAGCCACTTTAGATAAACATTTTAGTAACTCTTATTTGCAATGTTTAAGAATTAAAAAAAAGCGTTTGTAAAAATAAGGGGATTTTTTTGCCACTGTGGATGGTTTTGTAGTACTTTTTATTCCTATGATTATTTGCGCATTCTAAATTAGCAATGTTTCTGATGATGGATTACTATTTTTCTCTTTTTTTGCTAATTAAATGCAAAAAGAGTAAAACAATATTTGATGAAAGCAAGTCTTTCAAGCAATGAGAAAGCAAAAATCCTAGACAGTTTCGAGCTTCAATATTTTGCATTTAAATTTTTAAAAAAATACTCTTTATGGCTTTACGCTTTTACTTTTCTCATGCTTTTGCTCCATAAAAACAATCACCTCCTGTCTTTTGAGAACATATGGATATGATTATGGATCTTACAGAGAACTCCAGGGCTTTTGCATACAGTGTATTTGTAAAACCTTTTACATGCAATTTCTTCTGCCCTTTTATTGCAAGTAAATATGGCAGCTATTACATAAAAGCATACCATCTTCTTTATGTTGTTCAAAGGAATAAGAAATGAAAATCCCTACTGTCATTTTCAGTTTTGGACATGCCTATAAAAAGCAAAATTTCAGTATGACTTTAACTTTTATTAAAAGGAGCATATATTCCCTACATATTTGCTATATAATATGTTAGAGAAGGAAAGGTAGTCCTGATATTTGATCTCTTGAACAAAGGATTGTTAGCAAGCGGAAGTAATGGCCCAATCCATTCTTAGGCATGTGGCAGTTCTTGTTGAGTGTTGAGACATAGGTATCTACTTCTGTGCATTTAAACAAATACATGACTGAAAGAAATACTTTGAACACTTTGTTAAATGTGCTAGCATACCTCCAAACAAATTTGCCGTCACCTTTAGATTTTTTTTAGGGTAAAAAAAAAAATGCAAATCATGTTCCTTGATTTCATATGGAAATCAAAGTGATCCAGGCTGCTTGCCAAGCATAAAAGTGATTCAGGCTGCTTGCCAAGTTTTATGAAATTTTCTTAATTGTTTTTCTGTAGGTTGCTCATTTAGGATGGCTGGAAAGGAAAACTGCTTCTGCTTTATATGAAGAGCCTCCCTTAGCCACTGTCCAAGACGCACTGCAAAACTTCTTAAAGGTATTTATACTGAACAGAACTCAAACCGATTAGTTACAATAGTCTTGCAGAAGTCTTAAGTAAAAGGTACTAAAGTTAGACATTGTCATTATATGCCAATGACAATCATTGACTCATTATATGTGAGTGCCAGGCATATGTGAACAAAGATAAGATAAGGTATGACACTATGCTCTGTGCATAAATAACTTGATTCAGATGTGCATAACTTTAACTTCAGGTATTTCACATTGTGACGTATGGACCAGTTGAAATATTTTGTTCTAGTACTCAGTAAGGCCTAATGAAAGGCTTAGAAAGGTCAACGCTTGTAATAATTGTTCTATACCTTATTTTTTTATTTTCAAGGTACTCACATTAATTCAGTCAAAGCTTTTAAATTGTAGGTGTTGTAAATAATGTAGATGATATTGTAAATTAGTTGATTTGTGGATTGAATGGATTCATTTTTATATTTTATGAGTGGATAAATGGATTCATGCATATATTTTATCTAGAAATTTCTTTTTTAATGACATTGACTATAATTTGCTGTATCACTCGTTATTTACTTTCAAAGATCTCTGAAGTCTTATATATTCTTTCTACCAGTATGTGGACTCCAAGGACCTCTGTAATGGTTATTGCTTTTCTTCTTATCTGAGTTTCTTTTTTTTCTGTTATCTATTGCTTGAAATGTTTTTCTGGCTAATCTTTGTGCATTCTTCTGCTTTCCTAAGCTCATTTCTTAAAGTCTGTTCTTTATCCTAGGTCTCCTTTCATTTTTTCTTTTTTTTCCCCATAACATGTTCTGTTTGGTTATTGAAGTTACATGTTATAGACAGGGCACAGGGGACCTTAAATTTGTAGGATTTGGCAGTGTTAGCCCATTGGTATTTGTACACATTAAAATTGATGTACCATGCAAGTAATACATAGTAAAAATATGCAAGCAATAAATAGCATATTTCTTTTATTTATTGATTACAATAGTAAAAACAAAACATACAAAACAAATTGCAAAGAAAAGCAAATTGCTGACTAAATTAAAAAAAAAAGAATAACACATGCAAGGAAAGAAAAAGGAGAAAGTAAAAAAATATTTTAAAAGAATGACTTCCAGTCTTCTTCACAATGTATAAACAAATAACACTTCAAGCTCTGAAAGGTTGCAAACAAATATCTTTTCTTTCCATAACGTATTTCTTATTCATATGCATATCCATAAATCATCAACTTTTCAGTCCTGTTGTCAGCAAAATATCTATAAAGAGTTACTAGAGATTTATAAAAACTTATTTTAATCTTGGTCAAACAAACCAAATCCTGGATTATTTCAAATGTCATAATGTTTTGTGTTATTTTGTAAATTCCAGTATTAACCAAAAATAAACAGCAAGCTTGTTTTTTCCCCCTCCTTTTCTGCTTGAAATCTTTAAGTCCCCTCTAGGGAGCAATTTCTGAGATGATTTGGAATAGATGAAACAATTTAGTTCACATGAAAGGCTATTTATTTATATAATTATTTCTAAAATCTTATAGTGAAAATCCAAATATTCCAGATTTGTCTATTCCCTAGTTTGTTTATAACATTATTACATCAAAAATCTTATTTTTTGCTATTTATTTCTAAATTTTTAAATTATTAAGCTTATGGTTATTTTTTCTTTTATTCAAGAATGCAGGCAAATTCACCAGGTGGCTTTTCAAACTCGTTTTGAACATCTTTATTAGCCTTAAGATAATTAAATCGATAATTTCCAAAAGTATTTAGGAAGACAGGTCAGCAAATCTAAAGCCCACTTTAAAAGGCTCTGCTATAATTGTGAACATGATGGCTAGTCTCTTCAGCTCCCAGGACTCAAACTCCTGCGGTCTCCTCATGAGGAGCAGCCATCTGGTGCACATGTGGGTAATCTCCCATCCTCTTCTTATCTGTAGAGGTTCCATAGGACTGTTTTTCGGTCTTTACTGTGGTGGTTTTCTCCACTCACATGCAGATGTGCTAGTTCTACATTCCTCTCCTGGAAGTCCATAGCAAACAATATTTCTGTGCACATCAGCTGGTATGTTGCTCATTTGTGTCTCTATAATGATATGGTTTTGCCAGATAGAGTTTGGTGGCACTTCAAAATTTGTATGATACAAATGAAAATTTACAAGATCTTTCTTTTCTACTACAACAGGCCTACATGATTTCCACTCCTGAAATTGTACTATATTATTCAAGCTTTGTATTTTATATATAGGAAAAGGGAAATTAAATCATAAGAGATGTATATTGAAAGTATTTGAAAGCCTAACATATTTATACTGATGATTTTGACTCTCTTTATTTTCTTTTTGCCTGTCTTATAGGCTGAAGACCTAAACTCTGGTTTTTCAAAAATGGGAAGAATATATATTGCCAAGGTAGGTGATGTGTGTGTCTATAATGTGTTGATGTGCATCCATTTTAAAAGCATCAAACAGCCTTATACTTAAACTTATCTCACTAGGATTATCACCAAGCCATTGGTTCATTATTCACATTATTTCTCACCATGTAATATCAGGTATTTTCAAATCATACTACTGAATACCTGTTTAAACTGACCTGTTAAAAATTAAACTTGAAACATATTTCATGCAAACTTTGTCCCGATGGTGTATAGATGTTATTTCTATGGCATGGAAAATAAGTATCCAATTCAAATTGCTTAAATATTTAATACAGGTAATCTTCACTTAATGACTGCTCTGGATAGGAATCATTCAGAGTTACCACTGGGCACTGAAAAAGTATCTTTATGACTGATCCTTGGACTTATAACTGTTGCAGCATCCCTGCAGTTACATGATCAAGATTTGGGCATTTTGCAACTGGTGGGCTTTTATGACTATTGCAGCATCCCAGAGTCACATGATCACCATTTGTGTGCTTTACAATTGGCTTCTGACTAGCAGAGCCAGTGGAGAAGCTAGCAATAAGATTGCAAGTCTCAGTTCTGCTTGTCTTGCTTAACAGTCACAGGTAATTTGCTTAATGACTCTAGCAGAAGTGAAGACATAAATCTATCATAGTCACATGATGTCTCACTTAATAATTGTGTTGCTTAATGATGGAGTTGCCGGTCCCAGTTGTTAAGTGAGGACTATCTCTACAAGTAGTTAAATATTCAGTTAAAGTATTCAGAAGGAAAAGATGACTACGATTGGTATATAGAAGATTAATTCAAAACTTGAGGTAATCTTAGTGTTGAGACATATTAAAATGAATGCAGTAGCAACAGAAATCCAATAAACATATTTACTTTTTTAAACTGTTTCATTTTTGTTGAAATTCATTGAATTAAATGTATTTGAGAAGGTGCTTATATTTTTGTCATAAATTATTGATGTGCACAGAGGATTTGAGAAATATTCTTGGTTGTACAAATGGAACCATTATTTTTTAAGTGTTAAAATTCTTGCATCAGTTTGAGTTTACCCAAATGAAAGCCAAATAATTTATGCTAAACCAAGGAGAGAATAATCCAGGAGAATATGAGAGAATATCTTCCATCCTATGGTATTAACAGCTCCTTGTAAAATCATTCTGCCCTCAAATCCCAATCAGTACAAATTTCAACATTTTCTGCAATAATTGTTTTATAATAAAAATGGACTACAAATTTTTGTATATTTTTAATTTTAAAAATATTGTTAATCTATTTTTAGTATTGAAAAGAAATCAACATATAAAACCTTTTGTACTTCAGTTCTTCGCAATGTCATATTTTGAGCAGCTTATGTTCTAATTAACGTCATCTTTAATTTGAATCAGGAGGATTACAACAATTTTTCTGTTTTTTACAACACTTCATTTTTTCAAAAGTTTCAGTCTGTGTACATTACAGTTATCATATCGGTCTTTCATTCAAAGGAGAAAATTGGCTTTTAACTGACTTCAGTAAATGGAGACAACTTGCTACATGTTTCATCCAGTTAGCAGGAGTGTATATGTTACACCTGATATCTAAAGTGGGATTTAATTAACACTATTGTTATGTGCAGTTCATTAGGGATAAGGTCCATTGAGCACAATGGGGCTGCTGCTGTTGCTATATCCTGCCTTTATTTGACACAATTCTTAGTTGTGCTTAATGTTTAATGTTCCCACCTCCTGTTTTCCCAAATCTGAAGTGGGTTGGGCTGAGAGTGAACATGCCTACAGGTATATTCCAGGCTGTACAGTAGAATGTACCTGTTTAGGAATGCATATATAGTTTGTATTTTATAGCTTTGAGGTGAATTAAAACAAATATAATCTTTTAGCAATTTATTATTAATACAATTCTTCTGTAGCCATTGATAATATACTACATGCAAATAGTAAATATGGTCTCAGCAGAGTTTGTCAGATTGAATTCTTCCTTATTTACATATATATATATGTATCACCATGGAAACAGAAGCTAATAACCAACTTCCCTTCCTGGATGTCCTAGTCTACAAGAAATCCAATGGCTCCCTAGGACACACCATCTACCAGAAGAAAACACACACAAACCGCTATCTGCACGCACTCTCACACCACCACCCAGCACAGATCAACTCCGTAGCCAAGACACTCATCTCCAGAACAAAATGCTTAGC